ATACTGTGTCTACCTCCAGTCACCTTTTCCTTCTGTATACTGTGTCTACCTCAAGTCACCTTTTCCTTCAGCATACTGTGTCTACCTCAAGTCACCTCCTCCTTATGCATACTGTGTCTACCTCAAGTCACCTCTTCCTTCTGTATACTGTGTCTGCCTCAAGTCACCTTTGCCTTCTGTATAGTATACTGTGTCTACCTCAAGTCACCTCTTCCTTCTGTATATTATGTCTACTTCAAGTTACCTCCTCCTTCTGTATACTGTGTCCACCTCAGGTCACCTCTTCCTTCTGTATACTGTGTCTACCTCCAGTCACCTTTTCCTTCTGTATACTGTGTCTACCTCAAGTCACCTCTTCCTTCTGTATATTATGTCTACTTCAAGTCACCTCCTCCTTCTCTATACTATATCTACCTCAAGTCACCTCCTCCTTCTGCATACTGTGTCTACCTCAAGTCACCTTTTCCTTCTCTATACTGTGTCTACCTCAAGTCACCTCCTCCTTCTATTTACTATATCTACCTCAAGTCACCCCTTCCTTCTGTATACTGTGTCTACCTCAAGTCACCCCTTCCTTCTGTATACTGTGTCTACCTCAAGCCACCTCCTCTTTCTGCATACTGTGTCTACCTCAAGTCACCTCTTCCTTCTCTATACTGTGTCTACCTCAAGTCACCTCTTCCTTCTGTATACTATATCTACCTCAAGTCACCTCTTCCTTCTGTATACTGTATCTACCTCAAGTCACCTCTTCCTTCTGTATACTATATCTACCTCAAGTCACCTCTTCCTTCTGTATACTGTGTCTACCTCAGGTCACCTCTTCCTTCTGTATACTGTGTCTACCTCAAGTCACCTCCCCCTTCTGCATACTGTGTCTACCTCAAGTCACCTTTTCCTTCAGTAAACTGTGTCTACCTAAAGTCACCCCTTCCTTCTGTATATTATGTCTACCTCAGGTCACCTCTCCCCTCTGTATATTGTGTGTACCTCAAGTCACCACCTCTTTTTGTATACTGTGTCTACCTCAAGTCACCTTTTCCTTCAGTATACTGTGTCTACCTCAAGTCACCCCTTCCTTCTGTATATTATGTCTTCCTCAGGTCACCTCTCCCCTCTGTATATTGTGTGTACCTCAAGTCACCACCTCTTTTTGTGTACTGTGTCTACCTCAAGTCACCTTTTCCTTCTGTATATGATACTGTGTCTACCTCAAGTCACCTCTTCCTTCTGTATACTATATCTACCTCAAGTCACCTCTTCCTTCTGTATACTATATCTACCTCAAGTCACCTCTTCCTTCTGTATACTGTGTCTACCTCAAGTCACCCCTTCCTTCTGTATATTATGTCTACCTCAGGTCACCTCTCCCCTCTGTATATTGTGTGTACCTCAAGTCACCACCTCTTTTTGTATACTGTGTCTACCTCAAGTCACCTTTTCCTTCTGTATACTGTGTCCACCTCAGGTCACCTCCCCCCTCTGTATACTGTGTCCACCTCAGGTCTCCTCTTCCTTCTGTATACTGTGTCTACCTCAAGTCGACTCCTCTTTCTGTATACTGTGTCTACCTCAAGTCCCCTCCTCCTTCTGCATATTGTGTCTACCTCAAGTCACCCCTTCCTTCTATATACTATGTCTATCTCAATTCATCGTTTCCTTCTGTATACTGTGTCTACCTCAAGTCACCTCCCCCTTCTGTATACTGTGTCTACCTAATGTCACCTCTTCCTTCTGTTTATTATGTCTACCTCAAGTCACCTCCTCCTTCTGTATACTGTGTCTACCTAATGACACCTCTTCCTTCTGTTTATTATGTCTACTCAAGTCACCTCCTCCTTCTGCATACTGTGTCTACCTCAAGTCACCTCCTCCTTCTGTATCCTGTGTGTACCTCAAGTCACCTCCTCCTTCTGTATACTATGTCTATCTCAAGTCATCGTTTCCTTCTGTATACTGTGTCTACCTCAAGTCACCTTTTCTACTGTATACTGTGTCTACCGTGAGTTACCTCTTCCTTCTGTATACTATGTCTGCATCAGGTCACCTCTCCCCTCTGTATACCGTGTCTACCGTAAGCTACCTCTTCCATCTGTATACTCTGTCTACCGTAAGTTACTTCCTCCTTCTGTGTACTGTGTCTACATCAGGTCACCTGTGTGCTGTGGCTATCCATGTCACCTCTTCTCTCTATACTGTATCATGTAGCTACCTGAGGTCATCTCCTCCCTTTTGTGTACTGTGACTACCTCATGTCACCTCTCCCTTCTGTATACAATGGCTACCTCAGGTTACCTCTTCCTCTCTGTGTTCTGTGACTACCTAAGGTCACCTCTACTCTCTGTGAACTGTGGCAATTCAATGCCACCTCTCCATACTATACACTGTTGCTACATCAGGTCAACTCTCTCCTCTGTATACTGTGGCGTCCTGATGGTCACTTCTCCCCATGGTTTACTGAGGATATATCAGGCCACCTCTCCCCTCCGTATTCTGTGGCTTTCTCGAGTCACCTCTTCCTTCTGTAAACTGTGTCTACCTCAGGTCACCTCTCCAAATTTATAAACTGTGTTTACCTAAGGCCCCCTCTGTATACTATGGCTTCCTTAAATCACCTCTTCCTTCTATATACTGTGGCGACCTTTAGTAATTTCTTCAATTGTCTACTGTGACTACCCCTCCCTCTTTATTCTGTTGTTATATAAGGTCACCTCATCCTTCTGTATACTGTAGCTACCTCGGGCCACCTCCCTGATTGTATTCTGTTGCTATCTAAGGTCAGGTCACCTCTCCCCTCTGTATACTGTCATTACCTCAGGTCACCACTCCCCTCTGTGTACTGTGACTACCTCATGTCACATCTCGCCTCTGTGTACTGGCTATCTCAGGTAATCCCCCCCCCNCCCCTCTTCCCTCTGTATACTGTGGCTATATTCATTGGCGGATTGGTCGAGTGGTTAACACTTCGACCTTCCACGCAGGCGGCCGCGGTTTGATCCCCGAAGTCGTCGTACGCATGGAATATCAGAGAAAGAGTTTTTCTCCTGCCCACACAACTCCAACAACCTAGGTGGAGTATACAATGGTCTGGGTGGATGTTGCGGTATCTGTGATATAGCATTCAAGTGAGGTGTTACTATAAAAGATGCCGATGGAAGCACGGTCCCACTACAAACAGAACACAATACATCTCCATCACACACGCAGACATAGACACATAGGGAGATATTAGCCAGGTGGCATAGGACTAGTAGTTAGCGCCTGACAAGGCAGCTCCTGCGAAATCCTCAACAATGGTATATCCTCATTGTATTAATTGTATATTTATGTACTGTAAAGCGCTTTAGACTGGCCTATGTTAGCTAGATAGGGCGCTATATCCAATGTTGTATATTATTTATTATCATTCAGGTCACCTCTCATCGCTTTTTTCCCTGACTACCTCAGGTCACCTTTCTCCTCTGTATATTGTGGCTACCTCACGCCACCTCTCCTCTTTATTCACCATGTCTATCTGAGGTCACCTCTCCCCTCCCGAACCCCCTGTAAACTGTCACTGTATACTGTCACCTCTCCCCTCCCGACCCCCTGTATACTGTCACTGTATACTGTCACTGTGTACTGTCACCTCTCCCCTCCCGACCCCCTGTATACTGTCACTGTGTACTGTCATAACTCCATGCAGCGGTTCTTGACTTAAAATGGCGATAACCTGAATGAACTATTTTTACTGTTAGGTTACTCTGGTTGGAAAATAAGTTTTATATTTTGAAATTTCGTCAAATGATATGTAATACTTAATTTAGTACAGTATCAATCCCCTATCTTATACTATTGAGATAAAAGATATGTTTGTGGATTAATACGTTGACAATGCATGCAGAGTCCAGGTAAAACCTCAGAACCCTTGGATTTGAAAATATACCCTTCCTTTAGCACACAATGAAACCATATGCCGCTAGTTATCGAAGCCCATCAGAATGGGGTTATAGATTGATAACATTCGAGTACTTTTTTTCCATAACATTCGTTGCATTACAACAATAATGATAAAAAAAATGCTACTTTACCTGCCTTAGTACCATTCTCGGAGAGTAGAAAACTACTACAGGCAATGTCGAACACGTGAAAAGTTACCGAAAATACTGAAGATCATCACAACCCAGTATTGCAATTGAAGTATATGACGTGATAGCAGGATCAAAGGCGGATATAAAAAAGGCGAAAATAATAATGGACTATAGTAATCATAAAATTATCTGATAAAACGGCACATCTTTTTTTACTATAGAAATATAGATAAATAACAATGGTTACATTGATAGGGCTTATGTGAGCGAAGCATGAAGAATTAAACGACATTATTTTCCTTTATTCTTCATTGCGTTTCCGGAAACAGGAGAAAACGTCATGGTCAAATTTTGTATTGATTACAGAAACATGAGCTAAAAATATAACAACATTGGAAAGTAAACATGGAAATAAATCAATGAATATTATGTGCTTGGTTTGTTTCCAATGAAATATACACTAGCGATGTAAACAAGAACGTGAAGACTGGATTCTTTGTTGACTTTCTGACGAAGCTTGTGTCACGTCAATGCTTAATTTGCCAGTGAAATGCTTATGAGTTATCTTTGAAATGCGATACATTTGGGCTATACTATTTCAAATATCACCGATTCTTGTGTAATTGATAAGTTCAAACCTTCATTAAAAGGAAAACGCAGATATGTACAGAATGGTCATTACGTTATACTGCTCATTTTTTTATAATCAAACATGGTCCAAGTCTTACACAAGCTTGATTCATCGACGCTTGGCACTGCATCAAATCATTCCGGTTTTCTGGTTATTTGATCTATGTCAGTTGCGTGTTTGTTACGCGCTCGATCACCATATCTAGTATTGAACGCCTACATCTGACCGACCACGTTGGTGGCTATAAACAGTAACCGATTGTTGTTTTTGGTGTTTTTTAGTTCGCCACGTATAAACAAAGTAGCAAACGATATCGGTATGGGCGTATTTCACGAGACTCCGAGGACATTTATAATTGGGTAACAATGACACGAAACTGGCATATTTTCATGGATCTTTATTCACGTACGGTCGATTCAACTCTTCGAGGAACTAAACCATACACTATGATGCGAATGATTTGCATGTTTTCAGTGATGTTCAGCACTGTGATGATGGCGGAAGGTAAGTAAGAAAAAACGCGATCAAGAATGTTATTTAGCTATTTATATATTTAGCTGTATATACATTTCTTCTGCAAGCTCCTGTATTAGCATATTCAGAAGACTTTGCGTTCATAGAGCTATGAATGCAATCTGATAAGCGTCATTTTGATGCTTCTCCTTCCGCCTCTAATTAAGAACCGTTAGAAGCTACGATTTTGGTGTCGTTAGGCTATTCCAGACCTTTGTTACTGACGACACAATTACTTAAATATTAAAAACATAAGGTATATCTGTATTTAGATCAGTATATAACTAAAAAAGTAGATTGTAAATATGAGGAATGGGCAGTATTTTCTCAATATCCATGTCAGTATGAACACATATTGTTTACATACATATTTACCATAATGCCTTATACCAGTATGGAATTGAACAAAATACCGTTCAATACTTGTATAGGTAAAACTCGATAAACGTCCCCCGTTTATCTACAGTGAAACCTAGATATAATGCCACATGCTTACATGTATAAAATTAAAACCTTGATAAAATGCCACATGCTAACATGAATCAAAGTAAACCCTTGATATAATGCCACATGCTGACATGCATCAAAATAAAACCTTGATAAACTGCCACATGTTTACATGCATCAAATTAAAACCTTGATATAATACCACATGTTAACATGTATCGAAGTGAAACCTTGATAAAATACCACATGCTTTCATGTATCAAAGTAAAACCTTGATAAAATGCCACATGCTGACATGTATTGAAGTAAAACCTTGATATAATGACACATGCTTACATGCATCAAAGTAAAACCTTGATAAAATGCCACATGCTTAGATGTATCAAAAGAAAACCTTGATAAAATGCCACATGCTTACATGTATCAAAGTAAAACCTTGATATAATGACACATGCTTACATGTATCAAAGTAAACCCTTGATATAATGACACATGCTTTCATGTATCAAAATAAAACGTTGATATAATGCCATATGCTTAGATGCATCAAAGTTAAACCTTGATAAAATGCCACATGCTGACATGTATCAAAGTAAAACCTTGATATGATGCCACATGCTGACATGTATCAAAGTAAAACCTTGATATAATGCCACATGTTAACACATATCAAAATGAAACCTTGGTATAATGACACTTGCTTACATGTATCAAAGTAAAACCTTGATAACATGCCACATGCTTACATGTATGAAGTGAAACCTTGATTAAATGCCACATTCTTACATGTATCAAAGTAAAACCTTGATAAAATGCCACATGTTTACATGTATCAAGGTAAAAACTTGATATAATACCACATGCTTACATGTATCAAAGTAAAACCTTGATATAATACCACATGCTTACATGTATCGAAGTGAAACCTTGATAAAATGCCACATGTTTATCACTTTACAGTAAAACCGTGATATAACGACACGTGTTTATTCCTATATAATTGCTTTAACTACATCTTGTCTAATCTGCCCAAGAAACATCCAATATAGGGATTGAACGGCGTTGGTTACATTTATATTAGACTTGAAGCCGCTAGGGCTTCAGGTTTAATATGGATGTAACCGATTTGCATTCATACCGGCATGAACATTTAAAAAATGCCGTTCAATCCATATCTTTACATTATCACTATAGAACAAGTGTTTGATTTTATTTATTTGTTCTTAAATAATTTATTTATTTACTGCTTTTTGTTTATACGTTGTCCTATAAACGACATTGGCGGAACAGTCCTATTTTAATCAAATTGGCACCAATAATTAACCGTAGTTTTCTGCATGTTAACTGAAGCGAAGCGACAAGCCTCTCATTAAACAAGGTTAAAACATGTCATCATAAGTAAACCACGTGATACGTCAAGAGAGTTTTTGCTTTCATACTCAAATGCTAGTAATGTTCATATAGTGGGCTGCAGCACAAATGTAAATATATTAAGATATCACTCTCACATGTTTCTCTGCGTAATGAAAACATTGTGATTTGAACATTTAGGAAAAGACCACCTTAATTAATGGATTTACCAACTGTGATCTCTGAACACAGGTTTGACTTTATTTGAGAAAAAAATATTCCTTTTGAACTTTTTGCATTCAAAACCTCATAATTTTGCATTTATAATTAAGTGATACATGTATTTAATAATTGCATCATGGGAGTGTAAGTGGTTTGGAACAAAACTTTTATCCCGACATGTAAAAATGTATGAACTAACAACGTTCCATTTTCTTCTTTTCGTTAAAGTGACCGGATGTGTCTATCCAGACTATCTCCAAGATCATATCTGGTCTGATAAAACGACATTTCCTGCACATCATGTCGAGTTCAAAAACAAAATATTAAACACACATCAGAATCAAATAATTGCCAAGATTAACTGGCGCTGTTTCCACGTCTCCAGGGAAGGTACCAGTGATCTAGTTGTGTCCAGGTAAGTAACGAGCACTCTATTGAGGCCATCTGTTGCTCTGCTGTGCCCTGGTAAATTAAAATTGTTTTTGGGGCGGGCAACCTCTATACTCTAGGGGTTACGCTCACTTTCGCTCTCTCCACCCCTGAAATATGTCATAGCAAAATTGAAGTCACAAAGACAGTTGTTTGATTGATCTCAGGTAAAAAAGAAGGTAAAATAACTTGACCAGTCGCTAGTCAGATACCTGTCCTTTGAAGATTACAAAAGAGCGACAACCGACTTCACCCGAGTGGTTAAGGCGTCTGATAACTAGCCCTCCTCAACTGTGTCGCGGGGGTTCGAGGCTTAATACGTGTGACAGTTGCCAGGTACTTTCCGAAGGTCGGTGGTTCTTCTCCGGGTTCTCCGGTTTTCCTCCATCACCAAAACCTGAAACGTCCTTAAATGATCATACCTGTAAAAAGGATGTGAAATACAAACAAACCAAACCAAAGCAAATAGAGTTTGTTCAGTGATGGCAACAATGACCTAGTTGTGACAGATAGGTTACATTTTGTTCAGTTAGGGCACATGAGACCTATTTTGTTCAGGTAAGTAATATTCCATACCCTGCATAAAGACTGTGTTCAGGTAGGTTTCAGATCAACCAGTAAGGGCACTTGCATTTGCAATTCCCACCGGCGTACCGGAGTGACGTCATACGTCAATAAGTTGAGAGTTGCTTCAAAACGCCATTTTGGTTTGTTGTTTTTCTCCCAAACTTTACCTGTAGAAGGTCGCTATAGGCTTCACAAGATGAAAAGACAATATTGTGCAGTCATTTTTTTTAACCTTGTTCGTCTTTTCGCACCGACATTTTTCAATTTTCAATAGGTGCCATCTTAATTCGCAATAGTTGTTATTTCACGCCACAAGGTAGTTGACTTTACTGATCGACCATCAGTTCTGTATAAAACTTATATTTGTTAAATTTGTCAGTGAGAGTGTATTTCGTAGATGCTGTCACAGTTTAGTTGGGATATACCGTCATATTTTTGTGAAAAGCTGTAGGATTTAGACGACTTTAAGGAATTGCTTAGATATAAAAATAATGTATCAAATAAGGGATTTTTGTCTTTATCTACTTTCTCATTATCAAGGGATATCTTATTGTATGGTATTTTGGAAAGCTCATTGTGGTTCTTAGCTTCCGATGCCGGTTTATTGTTGCTGTTTTGAAAATGTGTTGATGTTCCTTAAGTTGCGGTGCCAGCTTCGACAAATTTTGCTTCTTCTTTCAGGGCAGAATTGTTTGGACAAGAGTTCTTTCGCTGTGAGCTATACCATAAGGCCGACGCTGGCCACGTATACTACAAATCCCTCCAAGGTATCAAAGCTTCACACGTACTGTGTATATATCATGACCAATGTATGAAAACCTATGTATCTATTTCCATTTCCACTGCATGTTCCTCTATAAACATTACTATAGGAAACTGCGTTCATATGGTTATGAACACAATTAGATCAGCGTCATTTTAAAGCTTCTCCTCTCGCCTCGAATACTATGAGACAACCACTAGAAGCAAACATTTTAGTGACATAATGTTGTTCCAGGAATCCTGTTTGCACTGACCACACAGACACTTCAATATCGAAAATATAAGAGAATCTCTGTATTCTGGTCAATGGATCTTAATATTTATAATGTACATGTTATGAACGAACGGCATTTATTTCGATATCCATGTCGGTATGAACGCAAATCGGTTACATACATATTTACCGGAAAGCGTTTTATGAAGGAACATTCAAATCGCATACCGGTATTGCTATTCTCTTGTATCAGAAGTAATAAAATTACACACGATCAGAATAATAACTTCAAAATAAAAATGATTGGGGTAACACTGTACACTATTTATGTATCACATGGCCAAAGAAAAAGAATAACAGAAAAACAAGCGTTTGTTTAAGGATGGCTTATTGGAAAGGCAGGCCAAGTAATCTGGAAAGACAAAGTAGTAATTCATTTCACAATGCGAGGTAATCTTAAAGTCGTTTCTTTTTCAGACCCCTACCACCACGTGTCAGGGGAGGGAGACAGGTGTAACATATGTAGCAAGAAAGAAGATGCCATCAACCTTGAGAGCCATCTACTTGAAAGCGGTAAGCAAAGGGGAGCAACTCCTACGCTCCTCGATTTTGACTGTCGTGTTGACGAAATGGTCTAAAAAAGACAATAGAAAGCGATAGCTGTCAAAATGCACAAGTTGTAAAATTATCACACGTACCAGAAATGTTTTTTGTATTTTTGATGAGGATCGATTCCTGGAACCCTGGAATACCAATATTACATTACAATGCATAAGTTACTTACGAGAGGAAAATGAATGAGAGCCCTCTTATGTGAGGACACCACATTGTTCGGGGGACTGACTCCAGGGCTCCCCCCTAATTTTGAAAATAAGTTTTTCCGTAATAAGGAACGATAATTGTATGCAAATGATTTTTTCCTGATTCTCACATTGTCGTCATATGACCTTTGACCCTGTCAGCAGTGAAATCCGTCGCCATGTAATCTCAGCTTTGTTATATATCACATTGACTGTTTTATAAAATAATGCTTGTGTATCACCTCAAATGTTTTAACATCGAAGCAAAAATGACATAATTTTTAATTCAGAAGAGATTGTATACAGAAAATTCATGTTTGATTGCTTTATTTCGAAACATTTTATTATAACGACATTTAAGTTTTTGTGTTTTCGTCATATTTTTCCACATCCTTCGTATCAATGTTTATCAAAAGGATGTCTTCTTTTCTTCCAAAAAGGCATTTGTAGAGTTTTTGTGTCGACAATGATCGATTGTTCAATCCCGTTTTCTAAAACTTAATGTTGATTTTCGTTTCTTTTTTGTTTACCCAGAGGACAAGATCTCGCCTCCGCCGAACACTGCCCCAAATTTTGGATGTGGCGCATCGCAATGCGACGAGTGTCCGGTCGCACCTGTGCGGGCGTTGAAGGATGAGGCGCGCTCCTTAGAGTATATTCTGCGTCAGTGGTTGGCTGATAAAACCCCAGAAAAATAAGCAGAATGTGCGACTGTTTATTTGTTCAGAAAACGCCAGCAATACCAGAATTTGTGAAGGACAATGACTGTTTCTATGGGCAGTTTCATTTTTGTAAAGTTTTGTTTCCAAATGAAGACCTTAAACTAGTTAGTTTTGTGTAATGTAACATCACTGTCAATTTTGTAAAATAATAAAGGAAAAATTAAATGCACCTATAAACATATTTTTTTTTAGATTTTGTAATTAAAGTTTTCCCTTATAAACGATCACAATTACATGTTTATCCCATATTATTGTAATCTGTGGCAATAAAATATGTTTAAAGATCCCTGTCCCACAGCACTATGGGATTTTTCGTATATACATTTTACAGTATCATGTATTTGCACTAATTAACACTTTCACCACAAGGGCAAAGAGAATAAATAGGTTCACTAAATAAAGAGTCCGTCTTTGTGAATGCTGTTATCTTCTAGACTTTTCGTTACAATAAGTTCATAAGCATGAGATGTTCCGCATTAAAATAAAGGTCATGAAAGGTCCCCTGTATTTGGGGCAGCCTTGTGTAGTGAACATTTCAAGGGCGTAATAAAGTAAGCATTGTTAGTTTTCCTTTTCTTTTTACCAATACAGTACAAAGCATGGTCAGCTTTAGCAACTAATTTCGAATAGAATATCAACAATGCGCAGGTTAACGTTTGCTATAGCATGTTGATTTTAGGACCGCACACAAACATGTTTGTTTCCTATTACATGTCAGAAAATAATAAGGGTAGGTAGAAAGTTAATTTTATTTTAAGTTTATGTAGGAGAGTAATCTTGACTTTAACATTTGGCATTTTCTTTAAATCCCTGCTTTAATATCATTTATTGATGCATTCAATAAAGGGTTTGATTTTACATTGAAATATGGATCAAAGCAAGTACCACAGCATCAACACATACTGACCAATCGGAACTAGAATTCAATATAAAAACAATAGCAACAATTTCGAATGCTCGATAGGCCTATGTGGATATACCCATGGTGGCTCCAACCAATTTAGGGAATTTAGGGACTTATATTTGATAAGTGTGATGGAGAGTATGTGAACTGCAGCGTTTTTAATAATCATGGCGGTGCTTTGTGACATACTCAATTTATCAATAGCTATTCAGTGGTAATGTTATGATGTGTTATTTTTATATACATTTTTAACAGTCATCGAGTGTCCATTTACAGCATTGCTGAAAATTCCATCTTCTATTACATAGTTATATTATACAGAATCGGGCTTCATATACTCATGCCAATATAGCAATATGATATTACCATCTGATGATCACATGTATATTGATATAGTATTCATTCCTGGTTTCCACTGCATACCAATCCATTACCCCCTTCCCTATTCCCGCATTTGTTCTGTTGTTCATATTACTTCATTCTTGTAGCTAGTGTTGAAATAATTAATTATGAACAGGAAACAAATTTACATAAGTGTCATGAAACTTGTTTTGTTTTGTTGTTTCAATGTATTGTCAAAAAATTGCCGTAAATCAAACTCCGATTCGGTTAACAAGGGCACAATTTGGACAAAAGCAACATTAACATAGAAAGTCTTAAAAAAATCAGAACAAAATCAGAACAAAATCAGAAAAATAGGACCAGGTGTTGTGAGAGGGTTAGTGTCGTCTGTTTTATCGGCGATACCCGAGTCCAAATAATAGCACGCTCTTAAAGCGAGAACCGAGGAAATGGAAACGAGACAAAAATGATCTAAAGTACTGTGACAAATTTGGTTTCCATTTTAACGAAATTCTCCTCACATTTAATCACTTTTATTTTCACATGAAATTTATTTCGCGAACTATGGGTGCAGGTTTCGTTCAAGAATATTTGCAGTCACGATTGTGAGAACGTTATTTCAATATCGACGGATATCATTTCATGGCACTACTATTCGAGGGAGATTTAAATATGCATATGCCCCTCCTCGCAAATGTATGTGAATAATTAATCACTTGCACAAATAAATTGATTCACTGTATATTGAAACGATATAATTTTGGTAAGATTAAGTGCATTCAGACCAGAATTTGTTATGACATTCTTCAAGTCCATATAAATTTTAAAAAGTCTAAATTTGACAATATACTACACATGTGCATGTATGTAGAATCATATTTTGAACTGTGATTTAGAGAAAACGTTTAAATTCGGTTTGAAAAATTAACATGATTCCGGGACGCTTTGAATATATGGCACATTTACTTCGGTTCAAAGTGTGTAAGCATACTTGTCATGTAATATCCGGTATACAATTGTGCATGGATCAGTGCACACTGAATATCGCTAATTATCGGTTATATGCTGGACAAAACATACTCTTCATTTTGAACAAATGATACAGGTGATAATAGTACAAAATAAAACTGCGAAACAAAATTATTCCCTCTTGTAACAAATTGTAGCTTTAGTCCTCTTGTTTTATCGTAATTTTCATGTCCGGAACAGTAACACCAGATCAACTGATATCGGCAGACAACTAGCTATGGCCTGGATTCAGCCCAAACACTGATATAAAATCACACCAACACATTAATTACATAAACAAATTGGCTATTATCGAGGACAAAAGTGTGATTAATAGGAAAATGTGGCCACTAATTGGTGGGACTTTCCGTCAGATATAAGCAACATTCTATTCTAAAACATGTGGCCTTAGGGATGCCTGTATCGCTGCCTAAAACGGTAACAACGCCTGGCAAGACCGGATTCGAACCCTGAACTTCAGACTGTCATTCTATCGCTCTAATCGATTGAGCTACATGTACCTGGTCATCGGACATATCTGCCCTGGCCCAAATGTGCTACAGGCATATCCAAAACGAAATTGAGGGAGGTAACTGTATACATTGTATATACGAGAAAATAAACACAGAGCAGCGGGGCAGGGATCCTTAACTAAAATGTAACATTCTGTCGTCGTACAATGCATTTAAATATCGGTTAGCTTAAAATGCAGGTAACGCATTATTATAACTAAAGTCCTTTACTAAAATAACCCGAACTTAAACTTAACGTTTTAAAAAGGATCGTCTGAATTAGATAGACTGATGGACAATACTATAGGTACTCATATCAACACCTCTACTGTAAAGATGAACGCAACACACAGATATATGATTGCACCTTTAAAATTGTTAATTGATAGAGTATGTCAAAATGGATTACACTGCATCGTACAGGTGTTTCGTCTTGTTAGGTCTCCTCGATGATACTACAGTAGTAACCAAAGAGTTGGAAATCTAAATTGGTATAAACTACTGTTGAAACAGAATAGGAGGTGCATAAAACAACTTAATATTGATTTTAAAAAATTGAGAAATACTGGTTAATTTGAAAGTAATATTGAGTTAAGTTACTATGAAACCTTCCACTACTAAAAAGAGAAAACTTTGACCATCAAACGGCTTTAGTTGCAACATTTGAGTTTAATATCGTCTTTTCTCACTTTTTAATGACTGCACATACATCTCCATTAAGTAAAATTAAGTAAAATTCATACATCAATTAATTTCAGTCAATGCGATTAAATATTAATTTTGGAACATAGAAACGGCTCCGTTATAACCACGTAGCGTTAAATAGAAAATCTGAATCAGAAGATCATGTAATCCATTTAAGGATCCCTGTCCCACTACACTGTGGTTTTTCGAATATACAGTTACCTCCCCTTAACTTCTGTTTGATGTAACTGTAGGACAATTAATATTGCGTCAGGACACTTCTGATGACCAGGAAGTTCCGTCGGTTATGGCGATTATATCACTGATCTGAGATCCTACGTTCGAATCTCGGTCTAGACCCGCTGAGTATTTAAAATTGATTACAATTTTGTTGAGTATATATTTGTTATTTCACTTTTATTATTATGTTTTTCATTAAAATCCCGCAAGGTGTATTTTTTTTCAAAGCTTGAGTCATACCGGAAACCTTAAGTTTCCAATACGTATACGTAGTGACAGATTTTGGCAGTGGTATGGCGATCCTTAAGTGGAATTATTTCACTTCGCTCTATAATTCGTCCATTGATAGACGCTGTATGCGTTGTCAATATGTCGAGTAGGCTTGCTTTGTTGTACATTACACTTTTAACAGTCCTATCTACGATAACCCATGCAGATAGGTGTATATACCAGAACACCATATTATATTGAAAATAATTGCTTTCCTTAAAAAGCCGCATTTTGTATTATAAAAACACATAAAGACAGGTTCGTGAATGCGTCTGATTCAATATATATTCATGAGTCAGCTAAGAGTTAATAACGGCCTGTCACTTTCGACCAAAACAAAACTTAAACGAGGCGCATTATCCCTGCTAGGTTTGCATTTAAGGCAAAATTAAGGCATATTGTCGTTTCTTTTGAAATACCTCGCGCAATTTGCTTGTCATATCTAATCGTAAATAGTTAAATAACGCAGTATATCTAATATATTTGTCACCAATGTGTTTACATCTTTCACTGTATTTGTATATGTGTTAATGTACATTTAATAAGATAGGGGAAAAAGCACAAATAAAGTAACAATGTGACAAGAAAATGATAAACATTAAGTTGTTAAAGTTTCAAATAAATAATTCAGAAATCAAAACATTATGCTGACGTAACTCTAAAATGAAGTAACCATCCTTACAGAAAAACCATTGGCGTCATAACGCAATATCAAACTCCTTATCTCTGCTACACAAATTAAGATTTACTACAAACTATAATGGGGGCATCAAACGATCACGCGACCTAGGAACGTTCCGGGTCAGAACCGCTCTACCAGTTGGAAGCCATAACATGTGAAGCATTCATAATCAAAGCCCCTAATAAATAAAAATCTACCTATATTATTTCCTTAACCAGACAAATCTTCCTTTGGAATTTCATTCGATACATTTTAATGGGAATTCACCGGTACATTATATACGGTAAAAGTATAGTTATTTCCGACATATTTCCTTTGTTAAAACATTTGCGACAAGGATACATCATCTACCCACCTGCGAACAAACAAAAAAAACGAAATAAGAAAATAGACTATTAAAGTTCTCAATGTAGATGTCGTTCCTTAAAGTACAATTGACACCCTATTTAGGCGTGACACGAGCAGGAGTACAACAGAACCTGTCATTTCTCGACGTGTGTCGTTATCCTAAGGTACATGACTAGCCATAATTGGTTACAAAATAAACATATCAGTTATTTTCATTTTTAGTTTAGAATTTTCATATTGAGGGATGGACAATCGACAGAAAAGAAAAACACACTGACACCACCTGAACTCTAAATCTCCTATTTTGAATGATAACACACGGATATTTACAACACACATGACTCACATGTTTGGGATGAGAAGAGCGAATATCAGGAAAAACGGAAGCCTGTTCGTCAGAGAGGTATGTTGATATTATCATTAACAACTAATTGTTGAATATTTTCTATCCGGACGTTTTAACCTTTTGAGAGGTTTCATAAGCAGAAACTAAAACGCTTAGTTCTAATAATACTTAGGCTTTGTTTAAAATAACCAAAATTGGATAATTCAAAGAATTTTTATCATACACATTCAAACATCTTTTACCGACACAGAATAGTCAACTGGATTGGGCACAACTTGTTACAACTTACTAGGCCCTCTCCCAAAGAATTATAAAGCTTACGTGTGTTATATATTTGAATATATCAAAATAAAATAACAAGACCAACATGAAGACGATTGTAACCATAAATCAATATCACATTTCTCGACTGACTTGTTTTCATTATGCACAAGCACGATTTCAGCGTACATATCATTTAACCTTTATGTTGAAGTTCTTTTTTTCTTTATTTTAATTTGTGCCATGAAAGTTAAAATAACTGTAATGCATTTCATGTGAAAAAAGTGATAAAAATGAATTGAAAAGGAACTTCAAAAAATAAAAGATGAAAAAATTATGAAGAACTGGTTTCATGATGGATATCAAATACTTTAAAGAAATAAAATTCCCATTTAGCTGGCTCCGTTAAAAATAAAATTGGATATCTTTTATATATTACTTTGTAGTTTTATATTTCACATTTACTTCAATGACTTGAACAAAACCAGACATAAGACACCCAGGACCATATGTAAGCATTATTAGCTTTCAACAGTCCAAATATTATTTTTCGATATTATGATTTTGTCTCCATTCTCAAAACAATGTGTATTATTATTAAATTTTTTAAAGCAATTTATTTTAAATCCAAACACGTGCCAATTCCTTCATATTTTTTTCTCGAAATTTAAAATAATAACAACGTTTGAAATACTAAAAGTTTAATATTAAGATGATGATGATGATGATGAATAGGTGAGAGTATTTTGTATGACTGTGAGAGACGCAGCCAGGGTAGAAAAGTAAAGAGTCATCGGAGGATACATTGTTCACCTGTGTTCGGTATAGTAAGAAGTATGATTTTTCACCTCTTTTGGTGGTATCTGAATACGGGCCGGACGGACATAGGGAAGGTATCGTATTTCACTAAGAGTCGGTAACACTCGGATGAAATTACCGTGACTTCGGTCCCGTTCTCTCCGGAGAAATGATGTTGCCACACCTGATAGGAAGTTCTCTAGCTTTCGATTTTAAGTTTATGGTTGAAAGTGATCTGGGCCTAGTTTGAACATAAACATGATTCCTGTTCGTCTATGTTGCCAGTGCTCTGCTGAACATGTGATGATCACGGTTTTGTAGGAAAGAAAGGTAAGAAGTTTTAATGTTTTCAGTATGGCTAATATATAAACGCATAGACCTTTTTTTAATATTGCAGACCTTTTATTTGAAATTATGATTTATAGCTAGATCATCATTCTTATCCTGTTTTAAACGGTATTCGTATTTGAAATACAGTTTAAAACATCTTCCAGATTGATGATTTGGAAAATGACGCAGAGTCGCATTACAATTGTTTATGTGCAATATTAAGATAAACAGGTTCAAATATCACCATTTTGTTAACATAAATGCAATGTTTATATCTTTAAAATTTCGTGCAATTTTTTAGAAATAAAAATGCCGTCCCTGTGAATTCATTTCAAATGTTGCGTCTTTGCTTTGAAGTGTCACGTTTAAACATTTTAGAAACTACATGATTTATTGATGTTTGTTAATTAAATGACTCGGCGTTTTTGTCAAGCTGTCAGACTATTTAGATTAAAAATAAAATTTATCAGGGAATTATATAAGTTAAAATGTACAGACGAAGGAAGTACAAATTGATTATTGCATACTGTAAAATCACTAATTTTTGTGGGTTTCTTATTTCGATGATTTCGTGGGCAATTTTCATCCATGAATTCCAAGCTCCACATTATTACACGTTTGATATAAATCAATTATCCGTTTGTGTGGGTACTAGTAATCCACGAATTCATGTTCCCACGAAATGGTGTGTGTGTGTGTGGGGGGGGNATACACATTGTTGCAACGTTTATTCTGTTGTAATGCGTAATCTTAAATATACGAAGTAAACATGTGTGATAACTATATAAATATAGCATTTTAATCTCGTTATTTACTGTTTTTAAAATCTAAATAGAGTTTTCCATTGACTTTGTATATGTTATCATCGGGGAAGATTTGTACTTTATTGACCTTATGAAATTCAGAAGAAGTCTCCTCTCTGCACTGATTTAGTGCACCTCGAGAAAGATAAACAATTATATATATATATATCCGAATCAGAAACATGTATAAATCTTAGTGAATTATTTGCTATATCTCGGATTAAATTTCACATTTTATAAAGTAGATTATGTCTTTCATGGTTGTGTTACGTCATGGCCCAATCTTAAACTGCTTGTCGAGAAATAAAAATATATCAATTTTATTTAGTTTACAATGATTATAAAAATAAGTTGTTACACCTTATATTTATTACTCTTGTTGACCCGGATATCAACGCGCGGGGGTCTTCGTGTAGGAGGAAACCGGAGTACCCGGAGAAAACCCACGTAGTCGGGAAGATGACCTTATACTTTTTCACGTCCGATCGGGAAATTGAACCCCAGTCGGGAAATATGACCCAACAATATATAAAATACAAGCTGCAAGAATATTTGCACAACCTTACGCAAATGACTAACACATATATTATTATAGTTCCATATGATAAAAAAAAAATCTAAATAATGTCTTGTTCAATATCTTATGCTTTAGAGGACACACACAATCAACAAAACAATGCTGGTGATGTAGTCAGGAAAATAATATCAAATAAAACAAGATTTGAAATATATAAATCAAACAACCGTAAAAAGAATAGCATAGTTTTAATAAGGATATACCCGACTACGAAAGCTTACTGATTAATTGAGGGTAAATATAGTATGCACTAAAATACAATGCTAACTGAGTAATTGAACTTTAATACAGCATACACCCGCATACAAATCACTGTGAATCAATATTAATACACCATACAATGAAATACAAGGTAAAGTAGCCAAAGCTTCAAAATAACACACTGTAATAACACAACTGAATATTAAACACAATCCTAGACTCAATACAACATACTGTGATATATACACCAATACAACATACTGTGATATATACACCAATACAACATACTGTGATATATACACCAATACAACTCTCTTTTTAATTTTACACATAAAACATTACTATGCATGCTTTCTCCTTTCTGTCTCGGCAATATTTTAGACCAATTTGGTTGTCAACCCTTTTGGTCCCAAGCTTCACCGATAAATCTTAGAAGGACGATAGTGCAGTGTAAATACTGTTTTAACCACTGTATCTATTACCAAATATATAGATAGATCACAAGTGTGTTTGCCTTACGTCCAAGTTTCAGTGTGTCTGTATTATAAGCACCGTACAGCTAGCCCCATTTTGTTGTATACTTTTTTATGTATTTATGTAGCTCCTTTAATTAGCGGAAAAGGCTAAACAGCATTTATTAACTGTACAAGGCAAGTTAAAACCTGAACACTCTTGGATATTCAAATAGATACATCATTTATTACTCATAGAAACCACCTGCTGTTCTCCAGACATCACGACTGGTATTTTGGAGCGTGTCAATACCCAACAAGATTGACTTATAATGTTTGTATGCCATAAATGTAGAATGTTTTTAATGAATATCGGCAAGAATAATTTGTCAACAATGCTTTAAAGGCCCATCATTTAGCAGTAACCAATCTTTAAAATACCGTGCATGCAAAATCGTTACAATATGTAGACGCGTTGCATGCCTTATGCGACGATGTTCTAGTTAATTACCATTATTGGTGCATAAAGTGTAACGCAAAAAAATGAAATAAACTCGGCAGGAAAGCGACCGGCGACGTTCCACAGCACGATTTTTTAATTTTTTTATTTGTAGTTTGATAATGGTGTTTGGTTTGAGTTACCAAGTTAATGTAAGTTTTGTGTAAAGTTAATTGCCATTTCATATTACACGAGTCAATGGAACTTAGTCTGATTTCCTGTAATACAATTTTAATGACATTTTTTCGAGTATAATACATTCTAACAGTCGACATTTGTATTTCCTGCAGACATGAAATCAAACAGAAATATTTTAAAAGAAAAATTACAAATGAATATACAGAGAGTGAATATATAGATAAAGTAAATAAATATCAACAACGTTTTGTAGAGCTAACGTGACGTTCAAAAGTCAGTCGAGTTATATAAAGTGTAAAAATTACTTCTTTACTGCGTTTTATATGAAAAGTTATATATTTACAATTTTTAGTATTTATTGTTATCGGCCAAACCATTAACTAATTATAGTTTTGATTTGTGCGTTGACGCTGTGTTATTTTGACCTCTTTTTAAAAATAATCATCTAAATTTTGGAAATCATCCTCAGATAAGTATCCCGAACCGTGTTATTATATTTAAGAAGAAATGAAAACAAAATCATCTATTTCATTAAAACTGACAATCCATCGTTATATATTTTTCCATGGTTATAATTCAGGCGGACTTCATTTAAGTGAATTCTTTTGATATTATTTAGATAGGAAACTTAATACTGCTAAAGGCAGTTGTATTGTTCACTACTTAATCTTGTCACACGCATATCAAACAATTCCAAAAGAACATGATAATCATCATCACATTTCGGACAGGTAAGTAAGTTAAAGCTGGGATCTTGGCAATTTCCGTTGTCATTGGTGTTTTTGTTGAAATGAAACAGGGAACATCTGTCGTGTCTTCTTTCAAATCAAAGATTTCCCCAAGTTTACCTTGCATCAGCGCATGCATTCAAGTTATTTATTCACAAACACACTATAGTGATAAACATCTCACCTCTAATAGCTAATCGGTATACAAGGAGTAGTTAACAAACCGGTCGTATCTAAAACACCTGCTTTCTTTAACAAGCATGATCTAAAAAAGACAAATAATTGGTTACCAAACTAAAAGTTTACTAACTACGGTCGAATTGGTCATCTGTCAAGATTACATAAGTATTAAGAACATGCAGACCGGTTAATTCGACCAGGATGTTTACCCTATCAAACCTTGTTTTTCTTGCATATCTTATTTCACTTTGAAGATATTTGGCTGTCCGAACATTGCCTTCCATAAACGCCTACATAGAAAAACGGGTGTGGTACACATACCTATCGCAAACAAATGTTTAGTGCAATGGGGTTCACGTTTCACAAATGTATTCATATAGCCATTCATGAAATACTTCTGATTGTAAATTACTAATTGAATAAATGTGAACTAAAATTTGCACAAAGAAAACTTTTTCAAAGTCCATATTTAGCACAACTCACCTTATGTATGTGTTCTTTTTCTAAATTGCTTCATATATTGGAATACACAAAACATATATTATTAGTTAAATACAAATAAATAATTTGTTGTGACAATGGTAAATAGCTCTTATATAGGATTTCAAATGGTCATATAAAGACGATTTAAAAAGGGAATTCCACTCGTTGAGTATATATTTAGCCCTCGATTAGCCTGATATACATTAAATGCGTTAAGGTAACAATTCTTTTGCATCCAACACAATCAACAGCTGAGAGTATGCTTTCTAAATGTACAGTAATAAAGAGCAAACATCGCGTTGAAATACTTTAGTTATTTCGGTACATCTGATATAATGTTCTAGATTACTCAAACATTGTTACCTCAAAAAAATACAGAAAATAAAACTCTAATCAAATATTATATATTATATTCACGATCATATATGGGTTTTCATTTGTTTGGGGAAAAAATAACCGTAGTTGTACACTGCACAGCTACATGTATAAAAACTACTGCTGTTTAACAGGCGTGGCTTATCGAAATGACATGTATCATTTATATGTGTTTCAACAAGCTTTTTGCTACAGGAACTCAAAACTCAAAATTTCCAGAAACTCACATATTGTGTCTGGCTGCCACGATATATTGTAAGGTTAGGAGATGATAACTCCAGTTTATAAAATAATGGTTATTGATTGAATATCAGTGTTGACTGCTAATGAATAAGGTTTTTAATTAGGTCCATGAACTCATTCACCCCTTAAATTCCATAATGAAGAAATCCTAACCTTTGAATTGGAAGAGTTCAAATGTGTCATCAGGGGTGAATGAGTTAAGAATGCTGCAGTAAACAGGTTGATGTCAAATATGTATTTTACAGCTGTGTTTTTCCGATTTCAGATATAACGTAATGAGTACCGCACTAAGGAAAGGAGAAAGTATCAATACCTTTGTAATCTTATCGCAATATGAATCTTATTCACAAAAGAGTTCCTAGGAATTAAGTGAAATGTTCTCTCCTTTTTTTATGTATTTTTTTTTTATCTAAATACTCATCGAAAAGGACATAACTCTAACACAAATCACATGTATAATCCGAAATGTAGAATATACCCTTCAATTTAATTTAGCGAAACATGCTGATATAAGCTTCCAGTTTTCTTTTCATACTAATGCATTCTTCTGTTATTTTCACTGCTGCTTCATTAGAGGTAGCTATTCAAAAAACCTAAAGAGATTTGCTGATAGGAGATTGTTATGAGTTATGCTGTGAATACGGCCGCTTATTTCTTGTTAATTCTAAAGGTAGTTCGAAAGCTGTCACGATTCAAGGAGCTTTGTAATCTGAGTTTAAATTTAAATGGCAGTGTGTCGATGGTCGCTGGCTTTTCCTTTGTGTTGTAGTATATACGCAGTTTCCTTTCACTACCACGAGATTAAGGTATTTCGTGATGTAGTGCAAATACAGCCACGCCCCTGCTAGTACGATAACCTAATCAAAATACCAATAGAAAAATAATACCGCCTTTTTTTCATGCTACCGAAACGTAATAAGTCGTCCATCGTTAACTAAGCAGTAAGGTAAATGAGGTAAAAAAACGAACGGGGATGTGTCTTGTATTTACCTCCTTAAATAACTTCTAGTGAGTAAACATGTGGCGAGACTTGTGTTTTTTTAGGTTTCAATTATCTGTTCCAATGGTCTGTTTCAATGGATTCGTAACTAAGCCTAACTGGATTTTATACATGTCGTTTACATACATAAAGTTTATAGTTATACTTTAATAATATCTTGTATATATACACTTACTAGATTAGGCATAGTAGTTAATAGTTATAACGTTTTCATATTTTTAAGATGTATGCATTGTTTATATGTATGTACCTTGACCACTCATGTTATTAAAAGTAACATAGTTTTCATATTTGTAATATTTATATATAGTTTATTGCTTTACAGTTTAATATTTATAAATTGTATATATACATGTATCTTGGTCATGCAAAATAATTAATCGTGATATTGTTCTCGTATTTCTAATATTTATACATTTTTATAAACATATTTGCTGTCCGTGCATGTGAGTTAATAGTTATTTACATGCATTTTTTATTTATGTTACATTTAATCTACCTGGTTGAAATGGAATTCTTCATAAAATAATATATTACTTTTCACGAAACATGTGACATAAAAAGTGTTCAGTAGATGGACATGAAAAATTGCGTGATGTATTTTGATAAAAAGCATGCAAACATTTTATCTTCATTAAACAATTAATGAATGCTGCATTGTTGCTTGCAATTTATATATGATAGATATAATACAATAAAACCAAACATCTTATAACATAGATCAAAACAAGAGATTCAAACAAATGTAAATTTGCATAGTTAGGCATACATTATATGATACATGGATACAAATACAAAGGGCACAGTCAACACTACAATTAAGCATATTATGACTAATTAACTACATAAACTCGTTTATTATCATTTCTGATATATAAATGTTGCTATCAATCAAATCTTTCTATAAATCAAATTGATAGATTTGAAATTTAATTGATTTTTGTTTTTATTTCTTGTTTATGGTCACTTAGACATCTGGTCGTAACACCTTTCAATCTTTGTTATTATAAAATAACTTCTCCCATGTGGTCCAGAGTTCGCAAAGACGATATAGATGGTTGGTTTTTCTCGACGCAATTATTCTTAATTTAAGATCATTCATTTAACACTTATGTATATTATTAAAATTATAACAATCCTCTTTCAGATGATCGATAATTAATGTAACAATTTCCAAAATGCCACATCTGTATTTTATGTTTAAGCAATTGCAATGTCAATTTAATATATAGAATGATCAAACGATCCGGGTGTCCTCAATGAAGAAGAGGACGCTAATCCTTCAGGAACACCTGGGTATCTTCTCAATAATTTCAGTGGTATCCATTCGAATTATGATTTTGTTGACACTTCGGTATTCCCTTTTTACCTACAATGCAATTTGCACACTCCTCAAAATCTGTCAATCCCAATGGACACAACTTCACTTGGATCTATTTAGCATTAAGATTCAGCTTTAGTTTTTTTTATATGGTTTTTCAAAAATAAATCACACAGGCACCATTTTACCATTCATATTTCCCTTGTACTTCTCCAAATTTATTTTTCTTTTTGTTCATTTTCCCCCCTAGTTTTATCGATTTTGAGTCCAAGTTAGGAATTTGTTGACATTTCGTTTTTTTCTTTGAGTATTCATTTTTTTATATATATATTTATCTATGTATTTGAAGGCAGCAGTAGGAACAATAATTAAGGTAATAACATAACACTTAGGTTAAGACTACACTGAAGGCATAGAGGGAAATATTAAAGTCCGGATAGCAAATGACAAATTATACTTGATGCTCGAATATCTAATTTTTCTTGAGATAAACAAACACGGACACAAAACAACTATTATGTATGCATTGAATAACCTCTTACTATAAAACCCATTGACACAAAACACTGATACAAAATAGCTGTTAAGCGTGTAGAAACAAGACAATAATGCAGGATGAAAATTCGTAACTAAAACCAGCCATGGGAGTCGATGTAGCCCTTTGTCCGGCCGCCGTACTGACATTGTTAGGTAATATAATTACACTGTGCACTGGATAATTCGTAAATTCCTTGTCGGCTATCTTATTTACAGTCACTTCCTGCGGTATATACCAGGGTGAATGTCGACAGTGGTCCTATGAGGCTAATGTCCCCGTGCTCTCGGTGACCAAGAACAAGACATTAGTCCAAGGATTATGCGAAACCTGACTCTCATCAGTGCTCTGCTGCTAGCACTGTACACGGGTAAGTTAACTTTCGTGTCATATATACTAAGATTGATTAGACAAACACGTCAACCCCTACACTATTTCTGAAATAATTGATACACTTTTCAAAACATCAACAGTAAGCACGTGGCGTGTTAGAAACATTCGGCTAGTCTAAAATAAGGAGGAGTAGCAAAAGAGCTTTTATGTCATTCTATTGGGAGTTCATGACCTTTCAAAGTGTCGAACTTGTTCGAATGGAGGCGACACCAGATGTTCTTAATATCGTTGTATTGATAATACTAATTGTGTAACAAATACGATTATTTTCTGTTGTATCTCCAAAAGCATAAATATGACATCGATTGTGTGTGTGATGGTGGTTACAGAAAGAAATGAATTATACTGACAGAGAACTGCTGAGACAAAGCGTTGTTTGACAACCCAAATGACAAGACGTGTCCCTACTAGTCTATGAGCACAGAGTAAGGGGAGTAAGGAGGAGGGGAGGGAGGAATAACTCTTTCATGTCAAATACCCATAGTGTTTTGTAATTTAAAAAAAAAATGAACATTAAAGAGGGGAAATAATGATAGTTCATTAACACAATAATTTACGATCACTTGCCCTCCACCACTGGGTCGCGAGTTCGAGGCCTACGTGGGTTAGTGGCCAGGTATTTGACGCATGTCGTTTGTTTTTCTCCAGGTACTCCGGTTTTCCTCCACTACCAAAATCAGGCTCGTTTTTAAGGATCCCCATACCGCTGCCAAAACCTATAACTATGTAATTGAAACTGTTTTATTCTGCATGACTATAGCTTTGATGAATTATTTCAGAAAAGAAAATCATGCCTTTTGGGGGATTTTTTATGAGAAAAAATTAAGATGAAGTAAACAAACCATAATCAACACTAGTGTTCTGTGTTTAAAAAACGTCAGCGGAGATTAACCGAGATTCGAACATTGAATTCAGATTGTAATACCATTGCTCTAACCGTTTGTGCTACCTGGGAAGTGTACAGGCCAAATGGTGCTACATGTATAGCAAAATGGACGTTAAGGGGAGGTAACTGTATAGTAAGTAAAAAACGTGATGCAGTGAAACATGGGTCCTTAAATGAAGGCACTGTAGTCTAGTGATAGGACGCCGGGCTCGTGACCGAAGGGTTGCGTGTTCGAGTCACGGCACTGTGTTGTATCTTTGAGCAAGATACTTTACTCCGCTTGTTCCAGTCTACTCAGCTTTAAAAATGAGTACGTGGTTGTGCTGCGCTATAATTGTTGAATGCTAGCTGCTAGCGCCGAATTGGCAGCTCCGGCTGTATGATCCCCAGTGAGTACAGAAAATATATATGCTGGTTGCAAAGGCCCTATAACCACGGATAGTAATTTGTGAACCGCTTTGAGACGACCAACGAACTTGGTTGTGATAAAGCGGTATATAAAAACCTCGAATTATTATTTATTATTATTAAATTACAGTATATGTTAAAAGGACGTTAAACACGAACAAATCAAACAAACTAATTCAAATATGTATGACACCATTGCATTAGAACAACACTTTCACAGCTAAGCTATATATTATTTATCTTCATATTTTCATGTGTTCTGCTATCATTATACATGTTTGTCAAACGACTATGAATTTAAGAGAACCTTGTATAAAAAGACAAACTGATGGATTTTGGGTGTATATAAATAACATTAATTCATGAATTTATAAGCGGAGCGTGTCTTTTTTATTGAAATGTAATATCGTCTTACAGGTTTTTTCGGTATATGACTCAGCCTTCAATGTAAGATTCTTACTTTATGCAGAAAAATTATCATATAAGGATTTAAATAGATGTATTATTCTGCTTTATATCAGGATAATCGGAAAAGACAGGCTAAGTGACAAAAGCTGGATGTATAAATATCTACATATTTATCATCGTTAACCATCTTATGTATGAACTTACGTTGATATGTGGCCTTAAGGTGAAGTAAAAATATACCTCTCTGCATCGACTTAATAAAACTTCAAACTCGTGCTCCTTGGTTTCAATTTTCTAGTGGTTATTATGTATGAACTCCAGTGAACGTAATCATATTTAGAACAACTAACTTGTTATTAAGCTGTGTTTGAATGCTGAACAATCTCTTAATTTTCGTAAGATTTAAATTTTCGCTTAAATACGTGAGGACAGGTACTATAAAATCTTGTATCGATAATTGTTATCTATTTTGAAGTTACACCTTCTCAATCGCGAATCATAGTTCATGAAATAAAGTGCTAACAAATTTTTGTATTTACAATAGAGATTTGCTTTTAAGCAGTGTTTTCATGTAAATCTATCGCTTGTGGATTATTTATTGAACTTTATCTGTTCCTGTATTTGTGATGAATCTTAACCTGTATGTAAACTCTTAATGTGCTAAAGCGTTTATAGATTTGTATACGATTATTTGGTTATAGATCCGTCGCTGCGATTTACCTTTATGTAAATTTCTTGAAGAGATCTAGCTTTATGTATATATGTTGACGAGATCAATCTATTTGTCAATCAGTTGAATATTTTGTATGTACGATATAAATCTGTATGTCAGTCAGTTGATTTGAATTTTCTGTATGTACGAGATTAATCTGTATGTCAGTCAGTTGATGAGGAAGTTCTGTATGTACGAGATTAATCTGTATGTCAGTCAGTTGATGAGATTTATTTTTCTGTATGTACGAGATTATTCTGTAGGTCAGTTAGTTGATGAGACTTTAATGTATGTACTATATTATTCTGCATGTCAGTCAGTTGATGAGCATTTTCTGAATGTACGAGATTAATCTGTATGTCAGTCAGATGATGAGGAAGTTCTGTATGTACGAGATTAATCTGTATGTCATTCAGTTGATGAGATTTATTTTTCTGTATGTATGAGATTATTCTGTATGTCAGTCAGTTGATGGACATTTTCTGTATGTACGAGATTATTCTGTAGGTCAGTTAGTTGATGAGACTTTAATGTATGTACTATATTATTCTGCATGTCAGTCAGTTGATGAGCATTTTCTGAATGTACGAGATTAATCTGTATGTCAGTCAGTTGATGGGATTTTTCTGTATGTACGAGATTATTCTGTATGTCACTCAGTTGATGAGCATTTTCTGTATGTACGATATTATTCTGTATGTCAGTCAGTTGATAAACATTTTCTGTATGTACGAGATTATTATGTATGTCAGTCAGTTGACGAGACTTTTCTGTATGTACGATATTATTCTGTATTTCAGTCAGTTGATGATATTTATTTTTCTGTATGTACGAGATTATTCTGTAGGTCAGTTAGTTGATGAGACTTTAATGTATGTACTATATTATTCTGCATGTCAGTCAGTTGATGAGCATTTTCTGTATGTACGATATTATTCTGTATGTCAGTCAGTTGATGAACATTTTCTGTATGTACGAGATTATTCTGTATTTCAGTCAGTTGATTAACATTTTCTGTATGTACGAGATTATTATGTATGTCAGTCAGTTGATGAGACTTTTCTGTATGTACGATATTATTCTGTATGTCAGTCAGTTGATAAACATTTTCTGTATGTACGAGATTATTCTGTATGTCAGTCAGTTGATGGGACTTTTCTGTATGTACGATATTATTCTGTATTTCAGTCAGTTGATGATATTTATTTTTCTGTATGTACGGGATTATTCTGTATGCCAGTCAGTTGATGAAAATTTTCGGTATGTGCGAGATTAATCTGTATGTCAGTCAGTTGATGAGATTTATTTTTCTGCATGTACGAGATTATTCTGTATGTCAGTCAGTTGATGGGACTTTTCTGTATGTACGATATTATTCTGTATTTCAGTCAGTTGATAAACATTTTCTGTATGTACGACATTATTCTGTATGTCAGTCAGTTGATGGGACTTTTCTGTATGTACGAGATTATTCTGTATGTCAGTCAGTTGATGAGCATTTTCTGTATGTACGAGATTATTCTGTATTTCAGTCAGTTGATGATATTTATTTTTCTGTATGTACGAGATTATTCTGTATGCCAGTCAGTTGATGAAAATTTTCGGTATGTACGAGATTAATCTGTATGTCAGTCAGTTGATGAGATTTATTTTTCTGTATGTACGAGATTATTCTATATGTCAGTTAGTTGATGAGATTTATTTTTCTGTATGTACGAGATTATTCTGTATGTCAGTCTGTTGATGAGAATTTTCTCTACGTACGAGAATTATCTCTATGTCAGTCTGTTGATGAGAATGTTCTGTATGCACGAGATTAATTTGTTTGTCAATCTATTGATTTTCTATATGTACATTGTTGATGAGATTTATCTTTATGTAATTTGTTTGACGTGTTGTATTTGTATGTAGATTCGTTTGACGAGTTGTATTTGTGTGTAGATTAGTTTGGCGAGTTGTATGTTGATTTGTTGTTGAGCTGTATCTATTTTTTATTTCTTCTCATATATAATAATATAATTACACAGATATAGTATGTTGAATCTAAGTTTGTTTTATAATAAGGTTATGTGTTTCCCTCGTGCACATACCCCTGGGGAGCCGGGCCATGGAAAGACACCCTCGGACGAACAGCAATAACCTTCAGTGCCAGCAATATGCAAGGCTATGGCCTCACCTACAGAGGTTCTTCTGTCTCAACATGGACTTGCCTGTTCCTTAATGGAGATTTGATTCTCTCAAGGTAAAATTTTAATTCTCATTAACAACTCCTCATCTTCGTTTGGCTGAATTAAAAAATATTCTTATGTTTGAAAATTAAACAGTATGTTATGTTATTTATAATATAGAGTTTACCTTAGTAAGACAAAGTAAAAAACATCATTTTCTTATTGTACCTAAACCTAAAGGGGTTCAAACCTAAACTGGTGTCCTCCAAGATGATGATTAAATTTAAATATTATTTAGTATTCATAATTTATTTGACAGTGTTTTATGTAATGGAATAAATTACAGCTTTATGCTATATATATTATCTTACATAAGTTTTCATTTCATATTAAATTTATGAAACGAGTCTAAGAATTTTTCAATTTAGCGAGCCTCTGGCGAATTTCATAAATTTTATATGAAATGAAAACGTGTGTAAGAATAACATAATCAAGATTTGTGCCATCTATTCGTGTAAAACGCCAATTTTCATGCAACATTGAAATGTAAAAAGCCGCCATTTTGACTCCAGTGCGTTAGTCTCTGACGTAACAATTGAAACTTACAACAATCACAGGGCTGTTAGGTCATACTACATGGGTTAATACGCAAAATATTATGACATGAGTATATCCACTGGGTAACACAGTAAATTATGTGATAAAAATACGTTCCTAGTTGAGAAAAATAAGGAAACAGCTGGTTGTAAACCGTACAAACATTTTTAACGAGTTGTACTTGTCTCCTATTTGTATGTTTCTCAAGTTTCAATTTAATGATAGCTTCCATATACTTTTACATTAGATTAAGGGTGCCATTGTATCCGTTATAATCGCGAAGAAGGGTTCCATTCACATTTGTTTCTTGTAATGTTTTCATTTTATTTTGATTACTATTCCTTCTATATAAAAGATTAATTAACCAAAATCAGGTTTTTTCTGGCTTATATTAACTTTATCATACTTTTCTTGAAAAGGTCTGAGATAAATTCAATAATAGTGATCCATTTTTTGTACAATCCTTTTTTTTCTACAATTGTAAAATATGTGTTGTTCTATTTATAGAATACTTTCTTGAAAAGGTCTTATTTTGAACATCCATACACCTCTATTATCTATTTGTTCAGATCGTCGTCAATAAACGTGGCAGGCGATGATTACTATCTGTACGCTTGTATGCTGGTCAAAACTGTATCCAGAAACAAGTTCTACTACCATCTAATGTCAGGTAAGTACAACCCTAGTCATTCAAATTGTTATATATTTTTTTATATTTTTATTGAGTTGGTCATATATTCCGCTGTTATCTTCTAGCCCTATTAGGGTCAATTAATCCCAAAAAAGAATCAAACCGTTTTTATTGTTTATTTAACGAATATTCTGTTTCAATGTGTCACATGTTCTACCTTGTTTATATTTTATAAAACCTACAAGACAAACAAATACATATATACGTTGTTTACTTTATGCATACTATTTTCAAATACAATTTTTGTCAGTGAAGACTTTCAAGGTCTATTATTACCTTTATATCAAGCCTCCGTCGTTATATCATTAAACCTCTTCACAATGCCGAAAATCCGATTGACAAGCGTTGGCAGTAAAACAAGGTTTAGGTTTAAGCAAAACGTACAGGTACCTAGAACTTGCTTACCAGACCGTGTTGGTTAAAGTTCACGTATTTATATGTTTTTCGTTGCATAAACAGCAAAATTTGCATCACAGATTTTGTATTTTTCTTAAATGTGATGTGTATGTAAATTTCATTTAAAAGTGTTGCATTACTATATTGCCAAAACCGTATGTGAAAGAAGTACGTAGTAGAGTAAATAGTTTTCTAATTATAATATCAAGAGTACTACGTTTACAGCTGAGAGTACCAGACCTCTATATTGTATCTCCAATGAAGGAGAGTTTCAATGTGTTCGGCTTTTGTCTTTCTTTCAGTTGCTTATCAATTTGCTGAGGTCAAAAATTTACATTATGAAAGAAACCTGTTAATTTAAATAACACCTTGTCTTAAAACTATTTCCACCATAGAGATTCCTTCCCCGGAAAAACGCGAAAGGAACCTTTCCATGTTTACAAACAGAAGAAAACGGTGGACCGTTGTACGTATGTAATACGAGAAAATGCTTATTTTACTTCCTATTGTCTTTCTAGACGTTACTACAGGGATAACCAGATCGGGTGTATCTCTCCGAATTGCTGCAAGAATGACGTCAGAAACAGTGTTAGATATATGTACTATATGTGCGCAGAATCCCTCATCAATCTCACTTCTGGTTACTAAGTATACTGTTATGACATCAGCCGGTAAGTAGCTATGTATTTTCCCCATTTTGTTTACTTAAAACGTTAACTGTATTCATTTCTGTAAAAACAATAATAGAAAATTAAAAATTATGTTTAGAATTATTAAATACTGTTTAAATATAGTTTACACTAGAGGAGCTGCTCTGTAAATAATATATTTAAAACAATTCGTCTATTTTCTTTTATTAGATTTCACGATTCATTCTGCAGCAGAAAGTTTATTCGAGAGAAACATATTATTCCAGAAGTTTTACAAGGAAACACACGAATTTATTACTACTATATATTTGATTTAATGCTTGACGCACATTTTGATTTACCTTTGAATTACTCCTATCACAATACTGTATGTAGTTTATTTACAGAAGTTTTGAGATACATTGTATCAAATGACATATTTTGAACAGGACTTACATTGAATTCATTCCAAAACATTCCAGTTATCCAAGCACAGAAATCAAAATTCATGACCATATTGCTATCTGTATTCACATTGTTTGAGAAAACATTATCAAAAATGAAAATCTATAGCTCTATATTTTCAGCATGCAATCATATTTATTTTCTGTTTATATGTATGCATGATGACTGATAGCATACTCGACAATAATGATATATGGATTGAGATTCTTTTATCCAGTCGGTAAAAAGTTGTATAATTGATCTCATTGATGTTTTGAAGCTTGAAGAAATATTTAACCAGAAAATTATTAAACTCAGATATTTTATTTCATTTTACATTTAAAAATTTAGACTCAATTAAATTATCCAATCTTGTCCGTCTCATTTGCCCGTGAAATTGCCCAGATTAACTCTACAAATGCGTACGTGTACAATATTTGTTTTCAGATTCAACAAGAAATAATCAAATATAATTAAATATTTCATGAATAATCTGTTTTGCATTTTATTATATGATAATATTGCTGTTTTGAAATCACAACTAAAATAACATCGCCATTATGATGGTACTTTTTTTTACATTTTAATTCGCTTTCGCTTTTTGAACCTCTCTGAGACGACCTACGAACGAGGTTGTGATAAAGCGGAATATAAGAACCTGAAATTATTATCCATTATTTCTTTCTGTTGATTAAAAATGAACAAAGCTATATCATGCACATTGGTCGAATTAGCCTTCTTCTTCAAGGAATATTGAATGGCGAAAATGTTCAAAATAAAACTGGAAAACATAACCTTTTCCCTGTACATGTACTAAATATGATCGTTTTCTTGTTATATTTCATTGTATAATAATTCTCTTCTGTGAAAATATATTAAAATTAAAAAAACCACTAACTATTCTCTCAATGTTTTGAATAAGACTTAATAATATATAAATGTTGTCAATTTTATTGTATATATCAATGGTATTGGCATTATTAAATGTCACAATAATATACAATAATGGTCAACTACAGAAGTAAGTTAATTTTTGTTTAAACGTTCTTTTTTAAGGGACATCGGCTGAAACGAGTGAAATTTCAAATCCATCGTTTGCACCAAATCCTTGTGATCCTTCAACAACACAAGCGACAACTACAACACAACCACCGACGACAACAACTACAACACAACCACCGACGACAACAACTTCAACACAAGCGACAACCACAACCAAGCCGACAACTACTTCGGCAGCAACTAAAAGTAAGTGATGTAGCAACATGCCTGACAATGTATCTAACTTGGAACTAAATCACAATTAAATATCAAAATTTCTACTTTCAATTGCCAAATGCCTTAACTTCTAGTTATACAAATATCAGGCATTTTATTGGTTTTACACCGTGTTTTTTCATTGCAAACGAACATAGATAAACTGCAGTATTTACTCGGAGCAAGTAATCATACTTCATATACTCACAACCAATCACTCGGAAACTCTCGTTTTTCCTTCGGAACCAAAAATACGAAATTAAAAAGCTGAAGTAAATATAACAGAATTTAAAAATTGACCTGCAATATTTTACCTAAATCGTTTGTAAAAATCACAATTTAAAATGTCGCACTTTCTTTTATATCGCGTTATATTTGCCCAATTATGTCTCTTGTATGCAAGTGATCTTGATCCATAAAGTAAAACAGTAGTTATGTTAAAGGTCGGTTAACCTAATTATAACTATTTCACAAATGTGTTGTCCCCGGAAAAGTGTTCAGGCGATGGGTTGTGTAATTTGGATTTGTTCGTTAAAACTATTGAGTGACAGATCTATTGTTTCTGTCTTACACGAATAATGATCAAAGGTCGGAGTCGTCTGGTTTAAATGGATTTCAAAACATTGCAGTGAATCTGACTCCATTACTGACTACACTGGTGAATGGCAGTCCATGGGTCCAGCCTGGTAGCACCAATGCTCAGTTCACACCAACTCAAATCACCGACATGCCAATTACTATCACAGGGCAGATTCAATCCAGCTGGTCTATTGTTACGGAGGAACCAGACTTGTTATTATACAGGTAAAAAGACTTTTTATGTCAGTTGAACAGTCTGGTTTAGTTATTTTCCTGTGTGAATCAGTAGAACCCTTTAAAATAACTGATTTTAGTTCCTTCTGTGATTTAAGACATGTTCACTAGTTTTTTCTACATGTGATGAAAGAAATGCCAAATGTGTTCTTTAGAAAGCCTTCTTTCTCATCCATTTTGTTAATTTAATTTAATTTTTGAGGGTTAAAGTGTGTCAAAATGACTCAATTGTACTGAAGCTGAAGTAAACTTTCATTTTTAATCTCAGTATCAATGTTACGAATTCAGAAAGCTTAATGCTTCTCTTCAAGGCATGGACATATTCTACGACAACGTCACCATGAAAACACACATTTAATTTCTATTATGACGTCATCATTTATTTATAAACAACCGATCACAAGTGCTCTGGAATATTTCGACTTTGATTAATAACATCGCTTTGATAGTATGCTTATTGAAAACAGCATAGTTTTTTTCATTATATACACAAGTTCTTAATGATCACATCTGTTATCAGGTGATTATGAGTTAGTACGTGTCTTGTAGTTAGGTAGGTTTGTTATGCGTTATACGGCATATACAGTTATTCTTATTATATGCATTAAACAAGCCATTATTTGGAATTTGAAAACTAAACAATCTCCTCATAGTACCGCTGTTTTATTTCTATGTTTTGTTTTGGTTGTGTGTTAGTTGTGTTTTTTTGTGTTTTTTGTTTTGTTTTTGTTTAAAACATTATTTTATTTTATTTTTTAGTTGACATTTTGTGTGCGATAAATGCTGTTTTATTTTATTTTACTATTTAATACATATATATATATTTAAATATAATATATAAGATTAGATATCCACATGAAGTACTAGATAAATAAATATAGAAAAAATAAGATATAACGACCGACTAGAAGACTAGCTTTTTTCACCTTTCAAATGACTCTTCAGGTTTCTGAATATAAAAGATATGTATATATATTAAAGAAAAAAATATCTTTTAAAAAAATTGCGTTGTCCCTGTATAAGGGGAATATGGTGATTTGTTTTCACTAAATATGATTATAAATATATACTACTGTTCATGGTTGTAGATCTGACCAGAGGTTTAATATTGATGGTCAGCTTCAATACGGTTTTCTATGCATGGCCATTACATATACGGACGCCAGTAATGTTTATTATTACTTATGGTCAGGTAAGCTTCATAGAGGACATCGATATCGGATATTACTGACTTACAAAAATTAAGTTCACCGGTCAAAATAAGTTGAAGCTATATTGCGGATCAAATTGCTGAAAAATATACAAACAGTGCGATGCACTGGATAATGGAAATGATTTTTGAGAAACTTCAATACCTGCAAGAAACACAATACAATAATAAAGTTATGAAACAATTATTTCCCCAAAATTTAGTGCGTTGATGCAAGAAGCCAAACAGAGTCAATATTTATATTATCATATGATGTATGTTCACTTACCAGGACCATGCTGTTTGTATTGTGCCCAATGGGTTCTTATGTGGTACTAAGGGATCCCCGTACAACTGCCAAAAACTAAAAATATGCTTGGGATTTTTTTATTTCGGTAGGAGTATAACTTTTGTAAATCTTTTCTGAGAAGAAAACAATACTTTGCAGACTATTATTGAAAAATCAATAAGATGAAATTAACAAAATCTTATCAATAAAAATGTTCTAAATGTAACAAAATCAGCTGAACTAGACCGGGATTCAAACCCTGTACTTCAGATTGAAATTCTATTGATCTTACCGATTGAATAATCTGTCTAACGAAATTTAAGTGTCCTGTTCCAAAAGGCATTTTTTTAACATTATATACACGAAATTTGGCATATTTTACTCATGGTAATGCAAGTGTCGACAATAATAAAAGACTGTAACTACTCTAAAACTTTCTTTTACTTCCTTCTGCAATATTTTATGAATGAATGTTCATATATATGTATTGCTTATAATATTTTTGAATTTATATACAGAAAAGAAAGAAAAATATACTACAGAAAGGATACACTTCTCGGCGAACGCTGAAGCAACGCCTGCTGAATGTTGTTGTCCTAAGAACAATATTCCAAGTGTTACTGAGTATAAAATCCTCTCTAAGCAAGGTAAGTCAGATTCACAGACACATCTTATGTTTCTAATTTTGGTACGTCAAATAATCAATGATTTTATCAAAATATTTTCGTTACGGGGTGAGTTGGCAAGTTGTTACATTCGTGTTAAAAGCTGAAAAGTCTTAACCGCACAAACTTGAATTAAGCAAGTCATTTAAGTATCAAAACTGGACATGATTACAAAAATGCACTTCTTTTGGTCCTGTTATACATTCCAATGGTCAATGCTAGGTAAGAGGGAAATATATATTCTTTATGTTATATGTTCGGCCGATAAGCGATACAAAACCACCAAGCATAAATTTTGTGATTTTTTTCTGTTATAATGCAGATGCCCATCGATGCAATTGAAACAAGTTAATGTCTTTGTTTAGACAATACTTAAATAATAAATTGTATCGGTAGTGTGCATAGTTAGCCCCGCCTCTTCCTCTTACTTCCTCTCTTCTTAACATAGAAATACCACTAGAAGAACCCATTATATGTAAGGGGAAAGGTTACTATTGCCTTTACTCTGCATTGCTTAAGAAGTATGTTTATACTATGCTTATTGGCTAACTATCTTCCTATATTTATTTTCTATTATGTATACTATCGAGTGCAGGTTGATGATTGATTTTGTTGTTATACATTGGATATTTAAATATTGAGAACCTATTTAAAGAGTGCCTCATAGGGACTATCCTTTCTTGCTTACTAAATGAATTGTATCCTTTAAAAATAAAGTACAATTATAATTATTATTATTGCTTACTTTTCTAACATGATCTTTTCTAACATTCTTTCAAAAGGCATGAAATTTAATCTAATTAACACAAAGATAAAATTTGAGCATTTTCAATTACAGGTGCACCAAAAGCTATCACTTCTAGCGTCCAGAATCCCAGAGGAAAACTTCCAAAGTGTTATAAAGATGGCGAGGATGACTCAGTGATTTTTTCTATCATATTCGGCATTCCCGCATTGGTTATGGTTTTGGGTTTTATTGTTCTTATTCGTAACTTTGTTCCTCAAGTAGACGTTCGCAGTAATAAATCTTCGCAAGAGCAAAAACACGTCTCTAGATCAGGGTCAAGAAGATCCAGTTTTGGAGAAATACAAGTTTGATATGACGTTAATTAATTTACAAAAGTGACAGGTAAATATCACCATTTTAAACATACATGTCTTTACAATTTTTAGATACAAATCTTATAAAATATTACCTTATACTTATGTGTTTGTGTTATATATCAACAGCGTTATTAAAATGCTGCATCCATGCATTCTGTTTTTTTTCATATTTTCTTACATTATATATTTTGTAAGGATTTAACTATAATTCCTCTTCCTCCTCCTTCTCCTCCTCCTCCTCCTCTTCCTCCTCCTCCTCCTCCTCCTCCTTAACAGCCATTTCATCCACCTCTCCTGCTCCTGCTAACCTTTGAATGTAACTTTATACGATAGATATTCAATGATAAACTTAATTTTGCGAAAAACATATTCCATTACATTAATACAAATTACAACTTTTCTAATAAAAAATTACCAATCTGGAACAAAATATATTAAAATAACTATTGGACCCAATCTCTTAATAGACGATGAACGAATGGTAGGGCTTTTAAAATGGCATATATTTGCAAGTTAAAAGGGTGTGTGCAAATGATTCGTTGTTCTGGGAGATTTATTGTTTAATTCTGTTTTAACATGTTGGACATATTTTGACAAAGACCAAATTTCATCATACTATGACGTCCATTTATTTCATGAAGACATTTATGTCGTGGTATTAAATTTGTACGGTTTCTTTTCATTAAACAGATCTGCGCATTAGCTCTGCAGGAGTAAATTCACAATAATAAAAATGCATAAATCATATATTATATAATGATATTGGTAATGATGTAACTGCGTCATACAATTTTGTATATGTTTTCTATTTATTTATGCATTATTGTCATATAAATTATTTGCTTCTTTCTCATGCTCAAGCATGAATTCCGTATTCCTGCCAACTTTCTTGTTTCTCGCTGAAATCATGTGACACAGCCAAATCTTGAAATTGAAAAGGTTATTTGTCCATAACATGTTTATGCTGTATTCCCTGTACCATATCATAAGTAACTGTAACTTGTCATAAATAAATAATAGGGGTGATGTTTGAACATTCGCAACAGAACGGAAATCATGTTAGAAAAGGGCACAAATAAGACAATGCTACCAATGGCGTCTATTTGTTAACACACTAAACCTGTAGTAAACCAGCTAACTGTTTTGCCATTAATATCTTGCTGACAGAAGTATAATTTAATATAAATGAAAATTTTAAAAAATATTATGAGGGACACACTTTCTTCAAAGTATACATTTATAAAAGCAAACGTTGGACATTTACCGTAATATAATTAGTTTAACGATAACTTGCACTGGTCTGGAAAAGTGTAGCTCGTACATTTTTGACGTTAGCTGTTACGTGGTCCCGCTATTTTTCTAATTTTGTCACCGTCTATACAAACAGACCCCAAAGAATGTAGGCGACACAATACCTAATGTCGTTGTCAAATCATGCATAATAACAATTAGTAATTATGTTATGCATATACAACTTCGATAAATTGGTTATTTGTTGACGATATATTGAAGGCCGTATATTTAAACGCTTACATGTATATACACTTGTGTTCTGTTAAACGGAAACACGAGAAGATATTGTTAATTTGAAAAAAATATGTTGATCATGCCCGATTTATTTTTTATTCATTTAATTTTTATTTATCGTTTTTGGATACATCAAGCAATTAAACAAAACAACGCTTACAATGTATGCGGTAATCGGGACCCCTCGTTACCCCTACCAGATATGGTAATTTTTTTCGTGACCTTCTACTCACAATACAATGCGATTAAAATTAACTCATGACATATAAATGAACCCGAGTAATTAAATGTAAATAAATGAAAACTGAGAGACTGACAAATTAATTCTTGCAAGTGATCTTCAAATTGGGGTAGTATACTTTGTCAAGAAAAGGCACTAATCACTAAGGAAAATAGCAACTGCATATTTGCAACCGCATGCTTTGTAAATTTGATAAATACGTGCCACAGCAGGCTTAATAGTTATCTATTTAATGAAATCCAAATTTTTTTTTTTTTTTTTTTTAGATAGTCAGGCAACACTCCTTTATCCCCCTTTACCTTTTCGGCATACAATCACCCACTTGTTCAGAAAATAACTTCAATTCAGAATAAATAGTACGATGACTTCACTCCATCAATACAAAGTTAATCCTGCTTTTGTTGTATACGTTTCCGGCCTATCCCAGCGTGATTCAGTAATACATTTTCGAAAGTATTGATAGCTTTTTGTTTTCAAAAAACAAATATTTATTTTTGAAATGTACACGGTTTGATCTCTTTGAGTTAAAACAAGATTTGTTTATATTTTGGATGATCGACAAAGATTTGTCATGAATTTTGGCGTTGTGGTAAGGAATATGAAATCAAAGCCCTTGTAATTACATTATTGAAATAATAATGTAAATACCTAGATCATGCAGGACCAGAATGCATTAAAATGACTAGTTAAATTATTTAAAATTATTTGTTAAACTATTCAAAATTACTTGTGAATGCATTACATATTACCTTAAAATATTATGTTTAAGCCAAAATCTTTTTATTTTTCCAATTTGTGTTTAAATTTGAAGAAAAGAATATTTCTTTAAATTTCTGATCATGTCTTTGAAAGCTTACAATGCCTTACATATCCCCGTATTTCCAATATACATGTATCTTATAAAGAACAGGATCGTGCTGTGCGGATAATGCAGTCTATACATCTACAAATCATTCACAGGTAATTGAACGGTCATAGCAGAAATACAGGGACTACCAATCGGATTCGATCTATTGGAAAAAAATATAACAACACAATGTAGTAACGTAATCCTTTGTTATACAGCAAGTAGGCCTAACGTCAATATAAATCACTCTGTGTCCGGTTGGAGGGAGTTTTTTTTAACTTTTTACGGGTTGTATTTCTAACCGTACAGCATATCTGAAAACATGTCTACCCAGCTTATACAGCTTATCTAAAAGTGTAGGTGGTTTCTTTTACTTTTTGTGTCCCCTCAGCTCCTGAATTCAGATTTTCTTTGTTTATTTACACCATGTTGATTCTGTTTTCGTTATTTTTAGATAAATACAAACGTAGATATGAAGGCGGTGGACTAAAATCGCCATACTTAAACTGAAATTATACCTGAGTGTAAAGGAAAATGAGAAGAAAGTCAATAAATAAATATGAAAAACATCACGAGATCATTATTGGTTCTGATTGGCAGGCATTACGCCCAATGTCATAAAGGCTGTGTATGAATACAGTCTTAACTTGAGTGAACAGACCGAAGCGTTCCGAATGTCAATGCACTCTACCCTAATCCGTCATCAATTGAGGATCTTATTTCCTTAAAACTGTACAATAGCCACCGGTAATCCATTATGCAACTGTTGCGTTCGACTGACGACGGCTATGGGAGTTACAGACCTACACTGTCATTTACATTTTTTTTTTAATTTTGACAGCTGAAGTTAAATGTATATCATAGCTGAATAAGTTTAAATGGAAATCTATAATCAAGTAAACAACGATAATTATACCTCAGAAAACAAACATGGCCAAATGTGTTTTCATTCAGAGTTGTTCGTTTTAACGTGAAGAAAGCCTCGCCCCATAACATAAAGGATATTCGTACAACTATGGTTCAGACAAGGAGATATTCTCTTGGCATCATCTTTGTGACTTGCTTCGGTAGGTATATCTGTTTAATTTATTTATATGCTTAAAGCAATTTTTCTTACAGCAAACCTACATGTACAATGTATCACTACTGTATAAGGTCAAGAGTCTGTATTGACTCCAGTAGTTTAAAGAAATTAATAGATCGGTAATAAAGGGTTCCTGTACCACTGCCAAAATTGTACCTATGCCTTTGTAACTTTTATCGCATGACTAAAGCTTTGATGAATCACTTTTGAAAAGAGAATTTTGCCATGTGAAACTTTTATGATAATGTTATAAAGTTGAAACGGACAAGCAAATATCAACAACAACAACAACATCCAACAACAACAACAACAACAACAACAACAACAACAACAACAGTGTTCTGAGTGTTTAACTGTAACAGTGACATTACAAGATTTGGACCCTGGACCTCCGATCATTATAAGGTCACTCTAATCAACTGCGTTACCCGGTCATCGGTAGAAGCATGGACAAAAACAACAGAAAGAGGCAAAATATGTCAAAATCAATGACCCCTCCCAATACACTGGAAGTGAAACAAGGTACCCCTCTAGGCTTAGCGATTGCTGCTGCTCCATGTGAAGCATGTGTAATGACGTCACATGTCAAATCCAGGAATGCTTATCAATTGTCAAAGATACAGTAAACATGTCGGCTAACCAAGTCTGACACTTTAAAACACAAATAAGAAATCAGGTCTTCGTAAGAACCGTATTCTTAGAGTAGTAAGTTTTTCTTTTAAATGTGTCTTTGCAAGTCTTTTTCCCCCATTTGACCGTATCAACGCATAGCTGTCATTGATGTTGATCTTTTTATTCATGTATCACTGTACACTATTATTTATTAATTATGGACCTTTGTTGAGCTAAATAATGTGGTTACATGAACCTGAGAAAGAGATATTGACCGAGACTTGTTCACCACCTATTTACCGAAATGAAAAAAATCTTAATTGTTATTTTAGATGTTAAATAATGTTTTTATCATTAAACTAGATAGAACGTATGATAATGGTACGAAGGAAAGTACTGCATTTCCATCAACGACAACATGATAGTATTGTCTAATTGTTTTACAGGTCTAATCACCTACAACCATTAGTAAGTGTATATGGCATATTGCATTTACGTGCAAATGGAGCGACATTTATTGTTTTATGAAATTCTGATAAATGTGGTGGGTTTGCATTTACACAATTCATAGCATGGTAAGAAAAACAGACAATGGTAGGATTGCATTTACACAATTTATAGCATGGTAAGTAAAACAGACAATGGTAGGATTGCATTTACACAACTTATAGCATGGTAAGTAAAACAGACATAGGATTGCATTACGCCGTCTTTTAAAATTTAACGAAACCTTATCAGGTTGGACATAAAACATGTCTTTAAGATTATGTTACTTATCCCCGCTCTTTCTTAATGCAGTTTTACATACATGTATGTATTTTCATTTCAATATCCTATATGCGTAGCTATTGAATGTGTTATATTCTTTCATTGAATTCTACTTAAATTGCACTTTCATGATTTATTATTTTCCATCCGTTCTCCTTCTATCTCGTTAAATATTTATACTATGCAACGGAAAATGTCATTGGACAATTATTTTCATTAAATCTATCTATACTTATTTAGTTTTTTGTCAGTTCCTGATCATAAACTTGTTACTTAGCGCTATCTATATACATTATTTTATTTCATTTTATTAATACTTTCACATGTGCAACTTTTTGAGTCTTTTGTTCATATTAAGGTTGTGTGTTTTCAACATGTACATACCCCTGGGTAGCCGGGCCATGGGCAGACACCCTCGGACGAACATCAATAACCTTCAGTGCCAGCAATATGCAAGGCTATGACCTCACCTTCAGAGGTTCTTCTGTCACAACATGGACTTGCCTGTTCCAAAATGGATCTTTGGTTCTCTCAAGGTAACCTTTTAATCCAAGTTACTACAAATTATGCTTTATTCAGACGGAGGTTAGTTAACTTAAATTTGTCATATCGAAACACACTTTGTTTTATTATCATACTTAAAACCAGATTTGATAAACTCAAAATATAGTTTGCCTGAATCCTTTTTTTGCCATTGCTGTGAAATCACCCATTTTCGTGTTTTTTTTAATTTTTGATTTCAAAGGTACTCTTCCTCAAGGAATTCATAGATCCATGAAATAGTGACAGGTTTGACATAAAGATATTATAAATTGGTACTTGTTATCCTAGAATTCATGTAACCACAATTTTTCTGTTTTTGATGAAACCACGAAATTTAGACCCTACGAAAATATCTAATTTCAAAAAAAAACTTGCACAAGATCGTTGACACTGCTGATGGACCATAAGCCCCCAAGATTTGCCGTAGCCTTATAGATGGAATCTATTCAGACAATATAAATGTCCGTGGTAGTAAAAGGTTGTCAATATTGTAATCAAAAATAGTATTGACACCTTTCACTTTTCGGAGTATTCTACATATTTTGTTTGACTCTTTCGCTTCAAGTAACACTGTTGAGTCCTGAATAGACGAAGTGACCATATGATGAAGTAAAAATCTTACTTTGTTTGACGCTTACCATCTCGATTTTTTTTTTCATAACTCCTTTCTTCAAATTTCCAATAACTGTTGTTGGTCTTGTGTGTATTTCGAGTGTTCATTTGGCCTTGTGTGTATTACAAGTGATGTTTTGGCCTTGTGTGTATTTCAGGCGATTATTTGGCCTTTTCTGTATTTCAAATGTGTATTTGGCCTTTTGTGTATTTCAAGTGTTTACTTGACCTTGTGTGTATTTCAAGTGAGTATTTCGCCTCGTGTGTATTTCAAGTGTTTACATGGCCTTGTGAGTATTTCAAATCATTTTTTGGCCTTGTGTGTATTTCAAGTGATTTTTGGCTTTGTGTGTATTTCAAGTGACTATTTGGCTTTGTGTGTATTTCAAGTGTTTACGACGCCTTGTGTGTATTTTAAGTTAGTATTTGGCCTTGTGTGTATTTCAAGTTATTATTTGGCTTTTTGTGTTTATGTTTCTTCCACATCATACAATTTACCTTAAACAAGTCATTGATTATATGTAATACTTTCTTTTTTAATGACATATTAGTTTTAAGTTTATTTTTTTCTGTTTTTAAGTAATTTCACCTTTTTATAAAAAAATTTTTACATATGATTGGAAACAGTTTGGAGATGATATTTTTCATTACATGTATTTTCGCACGGAAGGGTCCTAAATGAACAAAATGGCCATATCGTACAGTTAAGTTTCTACTTTGTTCAGCTTTCTGCATCTGCAAACACGATTTTCATAAAGATAGTTCCTTTTTTTTTTTTGTATTTCTAGTTATGATTTGGCCATGTTTGTTGATACTGTGTTATTCTTCTTCTCTTTTGAGCTATACTTCATCATACCTCCATCAAATAAATCATCCTAATACATATATTCTAATTAGCGAAACGTTTTTTGGTAACATGGAACTGACTGCTAAATGGAATAATGTGTTTTCATTTACATTTCGGCTTGTGCAAATCTATCAATCTTGTTGGATAAAGTACTTATTGTTCATGCAACAAGCTAAACGGTCCAATGTTGATATATTGCCTTTATTTGAATGTTTTACATATTTTGACGTCACTTGAAATCAGGGTTAATAAATAAGTTACGAATACATCTATACAGAGTTAGGAATATATCTTAAACGAAAACCTATTCACGATATATATTTCAACATGGTATCCTCAAATGGGGCATTCCTTGTGTTACGGACGATAGTCCAATCTCATTTATTTACTGTTAGGTTCTTAAAGGCTACTTATAATGAAACTCAACCAAGTTAATTCCCCTAATCACTTCGGGATGTAAGGGAGATAATTTGCCCTTTACGTGATTATCTAGTTTTGTAAACAGAAAAACGATTCCTTTATTGATCAATTTTCACTTTCTATTTCGATTAACCTGCAATGATGACTTTTTCCAGCATAACGGCAAGACGGGACGTTAGAAAAAATCAGACAAAACAATTAAATGTGATAAAATCGGTAATAACAATATTATTCCATATTAAGTATAGCTCTCTGTACTCAAATAAACATTTAAAGATATTCTTAGTTTACACTCTTATACGTTTTACTGTAAATAAACAAGGTAAGTATACTTTAAATATACATAATTACGCTGAACTGAAGAAATTCAGTTTCATGATTAAAAACAATAATCGGGATTTTAAAGTAAGAAAATAAGAAAATAAGTATCAGACTACATTTTCCCGTCAAAGAAATACGTTCTGTACCACTTTTGTATTTAAAGTAATGTTTGCGTTAAATACAATTTAAGCTGATTAGCTTTTGGTAAATAACTAGGCTCAGATATCCATACTTTGCCTAATGTGCCTATTATTGATGTTTGTCATATTTCCGTTGATTATTTTGGCTGCCTTCGCGAATTTCACGAATGGCTACCAATTCGCGAATTAAGATATTCGCGATTTTTTTTCCTCTCTTTTTGGGGAAAAAGAGAAAAACCAGAAATGCACATTCTTCTTGTTGAAGATTACTGTGAAGGGCAACGTCGATTCATTGCTGTTCTTTTAATCCATGTTTATGTTTAATGATAAGCTGATAAGCTAAAAGCTTTAATAGGAAAATCATTGCAAAACAAAACCACAATAAAGACAATTTTATTTTATCTATAATATGCTAAATAGAAACTCTATTATTCAAAATGTTAGTCACAATCATTGTTTAATTGTTCAGGTCATCATCAGTAAACGTGGCAGGCGATGATTACTATCTGTACGCTTGTATGTTGGTAAATACTGTATCCAGTACCAAATTCTACTACCATCTAATGTCAGGTAAGTGCAAACAAATACCGTAATTATGCTACTGCCTAATGACAAGTCGAAGTAAATAGTCATTAAAATAGCATTCTAATAGCATATAAGGTCTAGTAATAACAACGGTAATTTAAATACTGATTTGCTATCTTATAAGATCTGGTAACACAAACAGTCATTTAAATACACATTCTACTATCAAATGTAATCTACTAATCATTATGGTCTTTCCAATACAAATTCTATTGGCATATGAGATCTTGAAACAATCATAGCCTTTCATATGCAAATTCTTCTATCATAAAACACGGTCATTTCAACACAAATCCTACTATAATATAGGGTATAGATACTGTACAAACACGGTCATTCGAATACACATTCTATTATCGTATACGATCTAGTATTAAACACAATCATTAAAATTCAATATACTTCCATTTAAGGTCCTGTAACAAATACGGTCATTCACATACAAATTCTACTCTCATATACATTCTAGAAACAAACACGGTCATTCAGATACAAGATCTACTCAAGTAACCCTATTAAGTGCCCCAGCGTCACTGTGGTTGCGAAAGATTCTGCACCTCTCTTACTAGTACCATATAGAAAATCAGAAATCACACTCACAAGACAGGCTAAACGAATACAGATTACATAAATAGGAATTCGTCATGGATGCTATAAATGTCATTATGTTGAAGCTACACCTGAATAAATGTTAACTTTGTTCTCTCGTGTTGTTGAAGATACATACAATACGGTCGTCAGGTCAAGTATACCTCTCCGTATAGATCCCAAAATGATGTCGGTGACAGTGACAGACATGTGTACGATTTGTGCGCAGACTCCAACATCAGTCTCCCTTACTGTTACGGATTATACTGTTATGACAAGCGACGGTAAGTAACTATGTATTGTTTTACTCTTTTGTTTTAAATTGAAAACTGTATCAACAACACGCCTCAGACAATAAAGATGAATAATACATTATGCTTTACTAATAACCTTTTGGTGTAATGAAACAATTACTCAATTTTTTCCTCGATTCAAGTAAGGGAACCCAATACCACTGCCAAAAACTGTAACTAAGTGTTGGAAACTAAAAAAAAAACATTCTTTTTTTTCAAACATAGTTAAGCTTGTATAAATCTTTTCGGAAAAGGACACTTTACCTTGCTAAAATTTTATGAGAAAAAATAAAGATGAACAAAAAAAAATATATCTCATTAAAAATATTGTTCTAAGTGGGGAAAAAAAGACTAGGATGTGAACACTGGATTTTATACTATCGGTCTCTCCAAAACAGGTACCTTGTAAACAGAAGTGCCCTTATCCAGCTGTGCTACACTTATATTCAAAAGAAAAATGAAGGGAGGTCACTGTTTATACGAAATATCATTTCTTCCCTTTGTCAGCTTGCTAGTTAAAGAGCCTGCATAGGCAAATTACATGGGTACACCCTTTTACATATCCTAAAGAAAACTTCTTCACAAGGGCACGGGGCAATCAGTATTCTGTACCTATCCAGCCAAATAAAAGCAGCAATTAGACTAAGTTTATAGTCACTGGATGTCCGAAATTTTGAAATGCAAAAATCCGTAATAATGTAATTTTTGAATGTCATTTTTTTGCATTTTAATACAATCGTTAGTCATACAGCATAAAAACTCCCTTTTCAGAATATTTATAGGTCATCGCTATGAGTAATTTAAACACAAAAAATGATGATTTTATCAAAATTATTCATTGTTCTTAATTGAAAACACGAAATAAAATGTTCAAATTTGTTAACTTTAAATTTCCAATTTATATGCTACTGTTTATTTACGCTATTGCTATTCATTTCATTTTGACACTCATTTTAAAATCGTCTTCTTTGACACCACTGAACCGATTTTAATCACCACTACGAAAGGGTCAGAGTAACTTTATTGTTTACGCTTTGCCTTTGTGTTTGTGTGTGTGTGGGGGGGGGGGGGGGGGGGGGGGGGGGGGGGGGGGGAGTGTCACGATATCATTATCAAAACCTAGCAGAGCTTGGCAATTTATTTGAAGGGATGTCTAGCCTCTAGAGCAAGACATGTTTAACAAGTCTCTTTTTGTAAGGAATTTGACATTCTTGAGACCAGGGTATACACAAGCTCACATACATATTCAGATATTAAAATTCTGTTGAGTAAGGGAGATAACTCTAAAACATTTCCATGACTGAAGTTCATCAGAATGCCATTGAAAAGAGATCATTTCCCTTCACTAAAACTTTTATTGCTTGATTTTTCAAAGATAAGATGGAATGATTATTAAATAGTACATTCAATCATTACCATGTTAGATATTAGTCTAGTTCAATATTGAAAATTAACATTGTTTTATAACATTTATTTTGACAGAAACAAAACACTTGAACTAAAATTTTGTTATGGTGTAGGCAAAACGTGGCAATGCCATCACTAGTTAAAGCCGATACATTCTCACTACCTTAACTTTAGGAACGACGACAGCATCAGGATCCATTACATCCCCGACGTTCGCAGCTAACCCATGTGACCCTACAGCTACGACACAAGCACCGACAACGACATCTACCGTAACTCAAAGTAACATAATATTTATTTATTTTTCATTTATTTATCCTTATCTATTCTACCACAACAGAAGGGGCCATAACTCAACTATTGGCACAAAAACTTAACATAATATTTATTTATATATTCATTCGTTTATTTATCAATTCATTCGTTTATCATTTATTTATTTTTATTGTATTTTCTTTTAGATAATTTTCGTATCAAAGTAAAACAAATGATGTTATGTCAGTTTAAAAAAAAAGTAAAATGTTGATTGATATGGTTGAGACTTTATTATATGACTTTTTATGCCTTCTCAAATCCTTGTTGTCTTTTCGAATTTACTTTTAGGTAATTTTATTGCCGCTGTGCTGTTCATGTTTTTTTTCTATCAAACGACCTTTTTTTTGGAAGATTGTTATAACGACATCATCATCCACTTTTTTTACTATCAATTTGTATTCTTTGTCCTAGTTTTAAACAAAAACTGCGCACATCTAGTATTTCAATAGATAATGCCGTTCACAAAGTAAAACGAATCTTTGTTAAAAAACTACGGCATTATAAAACATGGAAAAGAAAGGTTAATGTATTCACTAACGAGATAATCCTATTTTATATATGCTTCGTGTGGTATTTAAAAACACTATTGTATAAATCAGAATTAGATTATGCAAAAAATGTGAATTGAAAATTAGCGATGAAAATATTTTAGTACAGAAAAATTAGATCACATTTGACTCATATCTATCGAATATGCTTGAAACTGATATTTGTCTGGAGATGAAAAGACGGAAATATTTCCCCGCGCCTTTAGTATTAATAATATTTTTGCTAATAAAGATGCTAATATTTTAATAAATGTGTCTAAAATGAATTGCTCACCTTATAATCATATTTTATATTGTTTGTTTTACTTCATTAATTGTATTCATTTCAGCGGAAAATGCCACAAGCACTTCGTCTGCAGAATCATCAACCAACGCTGCAGCAATCGCCGGGGGAACTGTGGGTGGTATCGCGGCTCTTACTGGAATATTGGCAGTAATAGGTATTAAAAAGAAAAAACAATTGTGTTTTAAGTCTGGGCCTACCGGACAAGGTGAGCTATAGGTTGAGGGGGTCTTCCTTGAACACAAACTCTGCTTAAAATCACATGTTTACATAGGTGGCCAGTTGTGATGATAGTGAGTTATAGTCTATTGCAGAAATGGTGTACAGGTAAATTGCACAGGTAAATCAACTTCTGATAAGTAATCAGATCATCAATAACTGCTAATAATTGCAAAATAATAATTAATATTTAGAACAGTTTTCAGAATCAGTCATATATTTATTATGATATATTAGTTAAACTTGTATCTTTAGTTTTGTTTGAATTCTCTTATTATTATTGTTATATATAAGTTAAACTTGTACTTATTTTCAGATTTCTATGAATTGTGTTTATCTTGTGTGACTTCAGTTTGATATTATTATCTGTTGTGTTTTAATACAAATACTTCCTCGGCTATCATACAGAATGGTTTTTTATCCAACTTGTTAGACATAAAAAGGGGCTGTAGACAAGGGGATCCGGTATCATCTTACTTATTTCTTTTGGTAGCTGAAATATTAGCTATCATGGTAAAAAAAACAAAAAAACTTAAAGGCATAAACGTAAATAACAAAGAACACAGGCTCTCACAGTTCGCTGATGACACATGCTTTATTTTAAATGGCACAAAATCTGTATATGATAAATATGCTTAAATATCAGGGTTAAAAGTAAATAATGAAAAAACAAATGTTACTTGGATAAGTAGCAAAATTGTTAGTGCTGATGAATTCCGTCTTTGCGTATTGCAGAGTTATCTTCTCTTGTGAGCATGTATTGATTGCTACGTCATTGGTTTGTGTGAGAAAATAACGTCGTTTTCTCAAAAATTGATGACGTTACTCTCACAAACAAATGACGTAACAATCAATACCTGCTCATAAGAGAAGATAACTCTGCAATACGCAAAGACGGAATACCATCGAAGGTGGAAACTAAAATGGGGAACAACCAAATTTACCTTACTTGATTTCTCTGTCGATGTAGAAGACATGGTTACTGTAAATGTCAACAAAATTATTAGTATTATAGATGGCAAGTTACATCAATGGTCAAGAAGAATTTTAATACCTATAGGGAGAATAACTGTTCTTAAATCTCTTATCATTGCAAAAATAAATCACCTGTTTATATCTCTCCCTACTCCAAGTAAAGACATAATTCAATCACTGAAAAAAAAAACACTTTTGTCTGGAAATCACCAATTGATAGAATAAAACGCTCAACAANCTTTAGTTTTGTTTGAATTCTCTTATTATTATTGTTATATATAAGTTAAACTTGTACTTATTTTCAGATTTCTATGAATTGTGTTTATCTTGTGTGACTTCAGTTTGATATTATTATCTGTTGTGTTTTAATACAAATACTTCCTCGGCTATCATACAGAATGGTTTTTTATCCAACTTGTTAGACATAAAAAGGGGCTGTAGACAAGGGGATCCGGTATCATCTTACTTATTTCTTTTGGTAGCTGAAATATTAGCTATCATGGTAAAAAAAACAAAAAAACTTAAAGGCATAAACGTAAATAACAAAGAACACAGGCTCTCACAGTTCGCTGATGACACATGCTTTATTTTAAATGGCACAAAATCTGTATATGATAAATATGCTTAAATATCAGGGTTAAAAGTAAATAATGAAAAAACAAATGTTACTTGGATAAGTAGCAAAATTGTTAGTGCTGATGAATTCCGTCTTTGCGTATTGCAGAGTTATCTTCTCTTGTGAGCATGTATTGATTGCTACGTCATTGGTTTGTGTGAGAAAATAACGTCGTTTTCTCAAAAATTGATGACGTTACTCTCACAAACAAATGACGTAACAATCAATACCTGCTCATAAGAGAAGATAACTCTGCAATACGCAAAGACGGAATACCATCGAAGGTGGAAACTAAAATGGGGAACAACCAAATTTACCTTACTTGATTTCTCTGTCGATGTAGAAGACATGGTTACTGTAAATGTCAACAAAATTATTAGTATTATAGATGGCAAGTTACATCAATGGTCAAGAAGAATTTTAATACCTATAGGGAGAATAACTGTTCTTAAATCTCTTATCATTGCAAAAATAAATCACCTGTTTATATCTCTCCCTACTCCAAGTAAAGACATAATTCAATCACTGAAAAAAAAAACACTTTTGTCTGGAAATCACCAATTGATAGAATAAAACGCTCAACAATTGTTCAAGACTATATAGTGAGGGTGGACTCAAAATGATTGATTTAGAAAACTTTCTATGTGGGCTTAAAGTTAGCATTCAATGGTTCACTTTCAGGCTTCTTTCAAGAATACTTCACTTAATCATTTGAAAATAATTGGAATCAAACAATGTGATTTATGTAATTTATGACAGGAAAGCAAAGAAACCATATAACATCTTTTTTAACAGTGTCAAATAACAAATAACTTCTGGCAAGACATGCGTAGATGGATAACTTAAAAACTGACCAAACATTCGAAATAAAGGAAGATATTATACTTTTTAGCAAAACTTCTTAATTCCAAAAATACATTTCAACTAAAATCATCATGTTTCATGCAAAATGCTTCATCTACTTTAGTTTATGTTTAAAAATGGCTATCTTTTAGTGCCGTATTAAATGTGTATTACCGTTATATGAATAGAAACTGTATTTTATTGCTGACCTTTGTATCAATGTGGCTTAAATTAAGGAATTTTGTTTTTCATATAATGTAATGTTATTTTTCTTTTCATATTAATTAATATTTCATGATTATTTTCTATTACTTAGTGCTGTATTAAATGTGTATTACAGTTATATGTAGGAAATAAAAACTTTTTATCCATTTTATTATTGACTTTAGTATCATAACTTCAAAATGAGTTGACATTTTTAGTTGAAACAGGCTATAACTAAACTTCAAAGGATTTCCTATATAAACACCTTCCTTTCAATTCTCCAGAGTTGGTGTTCGGGGAATGAGCCAGGTTTATAGTAATATAAATGGTTATAAAATGAAACTTTTCTTTATTAGTGTAACATTTAATAAGATGCCTAAATACCTAGTAAGAATGGCTATGTGTGACTTAGAGTGTGGTGTTTAACAGTTGATAATTAAACTTTAAAAAAAATCATCTAAATCCCTAAATGTTAGAAGTATAGTATAACTATCATGAAAATCATTAAATATCTATAGTTATCCAAGCTATCATTTCCATCCTGGTAAGCGGTCGCAGCATCACATCTCTAGGACTTACATCTGGCTTCGTCTTGCAATCTTTTGGGTATGGGATAATGTTGTTTTCATTTCTACTGAAATTGAACTATATTATTTATTTATAATTGCTAGTGAATGCACGGCTCTTAATTGTATAGAAAAATGATGAGTTTCAAATGATGATTTAACCCATACTTTTCGGTCGCTGTGACAACATTTAGAAACACAGTGTGTGTATATTTTCATAAGGCCGAATGGTTGAGTCTTTTTTGCTGATTCAGTTAGTCATCTACATATGAGAAGTAAAACATACAGAAGTCTTTTAGTACAGGCGGTCTCTTAATAAGTCTTTATATAATCACTTCAACGGCAGTTACGATTGAACTTTTTCTTCTGGTAAATATAGTTGAGATTAAATGTTTGTGTTATAAGTAATCGTACATTCGATTAGTTATGCACCAATAAATGTCAACAGAAACAATGAAAATGACACAAACACTATAACAGGAATCGAGGTGTCACAAACACAGGCATACACACATAGGGAGATATTAGCCAGGTGGCATAGGACTAGTAGTTAGCGCCTGATAAGGCAGCTCCTTCAAATTCCTCCATATCGTATTGATTTTGATTAATGTATATGCTAATTGTATTGACTTTATAAAATTGTATATCTATGTACTGTATAGCGCTTTAGAGTAGCTAATGTTAGCAAGATAGGGCGCTATATCAAGTGTTGTATATTATATTTATTATTTTATATATAACATTGCATGAATAGGCGAATCCAGCTGTTTAACAATATTTTATTTAATATGGCACCACAGATAACAATATATGTGACATCTTCCGTGACATCTAGGAAATATTTTGATCACGATCGAGTTATGAATCCGTACAATTAGTTTTTTTAAGAATGGAAAAAACTGAAAATTGATTGTTGAAAGATCATTGTGCCGTAATATTTTTTTCGGTGTAGATTTATACATTTTTGATACAAAACCTTGTCTACCTAATATATTGTTCGACGGGACTCCTGCTAATTACAATAGAGTTTGGAGTATCGAATTATGATAAGCTGTCGTATATAAACTCCATAGGCAGGAAGGATGGTGCATATATGTCACTGCTCAGGAAAACAGGATAGTAAAATATATCCGCATTGATATTGTCCTGTTCAGCAGAGTAGTTATAAGTCGCATAGAAAAACTATAAATATATCTACGAAATACGCGCAGACACTTCTCTGTTACAAAAGTCATATGAAATTAAAATATACAAAACAATAATGCTTGTCTTGTTTTCTTTCGGAATGACTCTTTGGTTGAAAAACAGAAAGTAAGAATAAGAAGTGAAAAATATTAATATTCATCTTCACAACAAAGAAACCCAGCAGTTTGGGATTCAAGACCTAGAAAATACTGCGTTTTGATTGGTCAATCAACTATATAATATGCATAAAATATTATTTTTTATCTATACTGCTACTGCAAAAGATTTTATTTTTGAATATAATAAACAATTACAAAACTGGTCTATCTTTCAATCTTTAAATGTAAAAAGTAGGATTAGTAATGCAATTATTAATCGATTGTTAAAATTCCGTTTGCTAAACGATATAGTCAATATCTTTACACATATTTAGTTGTAATCGCTCTAGATGAGCATACAAATAAAATGTTCTTACAATTGCATACACGCAAGAACTAAGACATGTGAATTCTTTTCAAATGATTCGTCATTTTGGGTTCAAGTCATCTACCAAAAAATGACCTTTTCAAGTTGAAGAGATAAGAAGAAACTTCACTTTCTGTCACCAAATACATGAGCCGTCCAAACGCTTTTACGACCAAGATGACATATCTTTCATTTGTCAAACATATAGCCACACACAGTTTGAATGAAGAAAATGAGAGTCGTATTTATTTAAACTAGTGACATAATGTGAATTCGCAACGAGAATGTGACCAATCAAAATGGTTTTAGTTGAATGAATGAAGACTAGTGGTAACGAAACAAATTACAAGTATTATCAAGCGAGGATCGCCGATAAGCGACGGTAATTGGCATTTTTACTTACTTATCCACCGTTGTTTTCATCCTCATCCTGGTTAGTATATCATTGCGTCACACCATATCCTTCCGACTTCATGTGCAAGGTATCACTGTATCAGTCATAATGGAGAAGTTCTACGTTTGAGTTTTTATTTACTTCGATATAGCAGTATAGCACATAAAGCAACAAGTTACTTCCTATGACTTCAAATACATTTGTCTTATATGTTGATGATGTGGGTCCATAATACCTGGATAGAACGTTTTGTTAAGTGTGTAAAGATACTGAGTTTGATTCAGATATTTAATTTTTATTATTTACACGTTTATTATCACTTCCTAATTTACAAATTTTGAGCAGCTGTAATTTTGTTATTTTGCGAAACACTTCTTTTGTCGAAAGGACATATTTCATGATAGCGACAATGGTATTCAAATATATAAATATAAAAACCTTTACAGTAGCATACAATTTCGGCTAATTGTAGTCTTTGTCTTGGTGATAACTGTTATATTGCGGTTTATCTGCAGTATAAGTGTGTCACAAAAAAATCTCTACTGTTAAGAAACAATGTCCCAATGCACGATGTTTTTCCCTATGACTTCTCTCTTGCCAGAAAGTACACAATTCCTTAGTCCACCGGACACTGCCCTATAGACACTTGATCAGGACAAAATATGTCCCAGGTGTATCAAAAGGGAGTATAAAAAGGTCCTCGGTGCGATAAATTCGTTATATGGTTTGCTACTGACCTATTATGGTACCATAGAGGGTCAGTATGGTTCCCTTTAGTTTAAACTGTTTTATTAACATAACATAATTATGTAATACATAATACAAATATGATTAAACATAAATGAATTGGAGACAGAAACAAGTGTTAATACTCTTATATACATTTGTTACCTTTCATCGTAACCAACATTAACAACTATATAGCTGAGGGATAGTGACATGAATAAATTACAGGGGAAGTTAGAAGAGAGTTGGGGAAATGCAATGTAAAATATGGTACATGTACAAAATACGTTATATTCATAAAATCAGTACATTGTGGTCAAGAAAAATCCTTCTGTTGCGTCATCGTTAATACACTTTATGGATGATTTTCAGACTATTTCAAGAAAGGTATATATATGCATATAAGTGAGATCGAAATAATCAAGCTGCGTTATAATGCTTATATAAGATATACTCTATGATAATCATGTGGATGTTTTTTCCCTACACAGACAGTCGTTGTGATAGACTGTTCACATTCCATACACTGTTACTGATCAATTGTTCATCACATCCCGTGCCTTAATATGTCATTCTCCTGTTCATTCTTGTCATCCTAGTATATCCGTTTCCACTAGACTGTTTGCATCGGGAAAGACCATCCACATGACTTACTTTACATATGATATATGTTATTATATGAATACAAAAGTCATTGATTAAGAATCTGATTCAAAGACGTCATAAGATAATAAATCAGAAATCAATTGATCCATTATTATGTTAGCAACTCAGCTATTTCTTTTTACATATGATCGCAAACAAACTTCCACGCATGCATCCCCACACATAACATAAACACGTATATATAGCATGCATACATACATACATACATACATACAAACATACATACATACATACATACATACATACATAGGTACATACCTACCCATCTACATACATACTTAAACTATATTTACTTGCGTACATGCGTGTGCAAGCATGCATATATAGTCATGTATCCACGTACGTAAATGCATGCACTCCTACACACACACACGCTCAAACATGCATGCATACAAACATACATGCATGCGTACATACATACATGCATGCATACATACATGGTTTGAGCTACTCAAAATCCAAAATTATTCGAAACAGCATGTATACATTAATAACAATATCATCATAATATTTTATCAACCTAATGTTGTTGAAATCGCTTATACTTAAGGATGTAATCCTGAACAGAGAGTACAATTATTTTTTCTTCAAAAGATAACGATTCATCGCCATATAATAATAATTTGACAGTTATTTGATACGGAAGGTTTTCAATGTGTAGTTGTCTGATGGCAGTGTATAAGGTACAATCTAGCAGGTAATGAGAAGTGTTTTCGATGGTACCGCATGCGCAAAGAGGGGATCTAACAATGTTTTTCCTATATAAATGTTCTTTAAGAGAGCTGCTTGACATGCGTAGTCTAGCATGGTATATTTGTCCTAAGGCTAATGGTGAGCCATATGAGTAGTGTTTTGGTGGAGGTTGTTTGTTGTTGCGTTTAATATGTGATTTAAATTGATAAATGGAAGGGTTTCTCCTGACGTTAACTGGAATAGAGTTCCAGCTATTGATAAAGGAGGGCAAGAAAGATCTTTGATACACATTAGAATGACAATGAATGGGAGCGATAGTTGTAACAGCAGAATGTCTAGTATTATGGCTATGTATTCCAGTGACTGATTGTGGTACAAGACGGTTGAGGTATGGAGGGGTATTTTGGTAGAACATTTTGTGGAAATCAATTAGTTTGTCTTGATGTCTACGTTCAATTAGTTTGTTCCAGCGTACTTCTATATACAGTTTATCTATGCTTGTCAGTTTGGTTGCACCAGATACAATCCTAGCTGCCTCTGTATTAATTTGTTCCTGTTTAGCACTACATTCATCGGTAGTATTATCCCACACTACGTCAGCATATTCAA